GTCCAGCTGTCATATGAGTGGCATGAACTTTTGGTGACAGCGGACACTTACATCATGACCAACACACAACTGGTGTTTCCTCTGGTCTTAGGACTAGATTTTTTGAGTAAGTCTGGTGTTCAACTGAATGTTGGGGAGCGCAACTACAGCCTGAAGATCAGAGGAAGGTGGAGTGTTTTTCCTTTTCTGTCGTCTGGGGTGACAAGCCACTCCTGTGTAAAACCCAGAGAGCCAAAAGTCAGCCTTTATGTGGCTTTACCTCTTGAAAGTGAACAGGTGTTGGAAGCCACAAGTTCTTTCCAAACACAGGACTTTGATGGACTACTGAAAAGCCATCCACCTGAGTTGCAACCTCTCTTTCAGAAATGGTCATCAGTCTGCTCAGAAAAGCTGGGAAGGACAAGCAAGATCAAGCATCATATTCTGACCACTGATGAAATCCCTGTCCGTTCCAGAGCTTATCGAGTCTCTCCAGTGAAGAGAGAGGTAATAAGACTGGAGATTGAAAGCATGTGCAAGGCAGGCATAATAGAGCCATCTGATTCGTCCTGGGCTTCTCCAGTGGTAATTGTACCCAAGCCTGATGGAAGCAACCGTTTCTGTGTTGACTATCGGCGGCTAAATGCCAAGACTCCCCAGGACGCTTACCCCATGCCCCTTGTGCATGATATCTTGGAGTCTTTATATGGAGCCAAATATTTTAGCACCCTTGACCTGAAGTCAGGCTATTGGCAGGTCGAAATGGATGAACGCAGCAAGGAAAAGACTGCTTTTATCAGTCCATTTGGTCTGTACCATTTTTTGACCATGCCCTTTGGTCTCAAAAATGCCGGAGCCACATTTCAAAGGCTGATGGAGCAAGTGCTCGGGGAGCTGAGAGGATCCATCTGCTTTGTTTACATAGATGATGTCATAATCTATTCTCAGACAAAGGCCCAACACCTGAGGGACTTGGAGACAGTTTTTGAGAGGCTCAGGGAAGCACACCTTACCCTGAACTTAAAAAAATGCCATTTTCTCAGAACTGAGCTAAAGTTCTTGGGACATGTTGTGTCTGGAGAAGGGGTCAAGGTAGACCCAGAAAAAAACATCGCCGTATCTGCATATCCTACCCCCCATGACCTACCTTCCTTACAGCGTTTCCTCGGGCTTGTAGGCTGGTATCATAAGTTTATTCCACATTTTGCAGAGTTGGCAGCTCCCTTGAACCATCTCAGACGGAAAGGAGTAGTATGGGTGTGGACTGAAGACTGTCAAAGAAGCGTGGACAAACTGAAGGCTGCCCTCCAACAAGCCCCGGTGCTCGCACAGCCCTGTCCTCTTCATTCCTTTCAGGTGCATACAGATGCAAGCAATGTAGGACTTGGAGCTGTGCTTACACAGATAGTAGATGGAGAAGAGAAGGTCATTGCGTATGCCTCCAGGAGCCTGAGGGGTGCCGAATTTAACTACTCAACCTCTGAAAAGGAATGCCTCGCCGTTGTCTGGGCTGTGGAGAAATGGTATTATTACCTGGAGGGAAGTCCATTTGTTGTTTACACAGATCATGCTGCTCTCACTTGGGCTTTCAATTCTCCCAAATCCACATCCAGACTGACCAGATGGACCATAAGGCTTCAGCGTTTTGACTTTCAAGTCAAATACCGAAAGGGATGCATGAACATGGTGCCAGATGCTCTATCTCGTTCTACACATTTGCTGGACCATGCGCTTGTGGCTACCTGTGTGACAAAGGGTCCCCACACTTGGAATGCCATGCTACCCATGAGTCTGGCTGATATAAATCTGGCCCAGGGTGAGGATGACTACATCAAAGAGTTGAGGGAACAGTGTAAAACTAGTAGCACCCAGAAAGATCGCATAAGATGGGAAATGCAGCAAGACATATTATACAGAGTCATACCATGTGCTGGAGGAGGGGTCAAATACCAGCTGGTGGTGCCCAAATCTCTGACTGTCCCTTTTCTCGAGTACTTCCATGATAGTCCACTAGGAGCACATCTGGGAAGGATGAAGACGCTCCTCAGAATCCTGGAGGTTGCCTGGTGGCCTGAAGTACGTAAGGATGTGTGGCAACATGTCAAAGAATGCCCTGTCTGTCAGAAGTACAAGCCCTCCAATACCAAGCCCTCTGGGTACCTTCAGGGCACTGAGATCAAAGAGCCCGGTTATATGCTTGGAATGGATCTTATGGGACCTTTTCCAAAGAGTAAGAAGGGCAATGTCTACTTGTTTGTCATAGTGGATTACTTCACCAAGTGGATTGAACTTTACCCCTTGCGGGACAGCAAGGGTCATCGCCTCTGCAAAATCCTGAGAGAAGAAATCTTCACTAGGTGGGGTGTGCCAAAATATGTCTTGTCTGATCGAGGGCCTCAGTTTCTCAGCCAACTGATGGCAGACCTGTGTAAAACCTGGGGAGTCATTCAGAAACTTACAACTAGTTACCATCCACAGACCAACCTTACGGAACGGGTCAATAAAGTTTTGAAGACAATGATGGCCTCATATGTGAAAGAGAATCACAGGGACTGGGATAAGTGGCTGTTTGAATTCAGGTTCGCCGTTAACAATGCCAGGCACGAAACCACAAAGAACACACCTGCTGAGCTGGCATTGGGCAGAACTCTGAAGGGTCCTTGGGAGAGACTCATCCACCATCATGCTGTGACGCCAAATCATCCCTCATATTCCCTTGTGGAGAGGCAACACCAGCTCAACAAGGAGGTGAGACGCTCAGCTCATGCAGCACAGCTCAGACAGGCCAGGTATTATAATACCCGAAGGAAAGATGCGCACTTTCAAGCGGGAGACCTGGTTTGGGTGCGTGCTCATCATACCTCTAAAGCTTCTGAACATTTCTCTGCTAAATTAGCACCCAAGTGGATGGGGCCTGTCAAGGTGGAGAAGAAGCTTGGTCCAGTGAATTATGTAGTCATGGGATTGCGCCCTGGTGACCAACAGGACGTTGTACATGTGGCAAATTTGAAACAGTACTTTGGTGCTGTTCCCCGGTAGCCTCCAGCTGGGGGGGGGGACTATGTGACACCACCACATAAGGGGACCTGTGGAGTACCTATTTTTAATGATCAACACTAACATAGATTTCAGGTAGTGTTATTTAGGTTACCCCACAGAAAATAAAGTCTCTAATTTCCTTTATGACTTATCACTGGGATGGTCTGATAGAAGTTGTGGCCTCATCTTATGTCTGGTATTTTTATTATGTCATCCATATTTTTTGTTTGAAAATGTTTCCTGGGCATTCCAACGGGGACTCTTATTTTGAATATAAACCCTGGTTTGGGAACAGGAAAGGGAAGTGTGGCAGCCATTTTCTTGGAGGATCAAGTTTGGGGAAGACAGGCCTGGTGGAGCCTGGCTGTTCAAGCCCTAACTAACTTTTACTCCTTTTTTTTTACTCATCTCTGTCCTTGAAGAGTGGATCCCTCTCTAACTGTGGAGTTACCTCAAGGAACTGGGTGAGCTCATTCCTGTTTTTTGTTTTTTTTTTTTGCATTGCTGGGCCTTTTTTGATTTTTGATTGTTGGGTATTTTTGGGACACTGTTTGCTTGGACTATGGTGGTAGTTGGACATTTTTTGGACGACTTCTTTTTTTGGATTCAATAGAGACAATCTTTAATAACTCTATCCCATCTAACGGACTTCTGCTTCAGATCTTATATTCTACTGCTTCTCTGCTTGTTTGCTGGTGCTGTTGCTGTTGCAGATGCTGTTAGTGTTGTCTGTTCTGGGGAATAAGAATAAGTAAAAGCTAACTTGTGCAGGCTCTGTTGTGTTCTGGTGCTCATGTTTTTTTTTCTCTCACCAAATTAGTGATCGGATTTTATTAGTAACTGCTGAGTTGATCAGATTGTTACACAGTGTCCAAGATTTCCAAAAGCTTTTTTCAACCATAAGACACTTTTACACTTTACACCTCAGTCCATCTTAAATGAGCTTGGGCCCAGAGAAGGAGGCAGTGTTTCTGGATCCTGTTTATATATGGTTTCTTCTTTTCATGGTAGAGTTTCAACTTGGTTTTCTGGACGCAGCCATGAATTGTGTTCAGAGACATTGATTTTCCTGAGCCCATGCAGTGATTTCTGCTGCAGAATCATGTCTGATTTTAATGCAGTGCTGCCTGAGGGCCCAAAGATCATGGTCAGCCAATATTGGTTTTCAACCTTGTCCCTTACATACAGAGATTTCTCTGGATTTTCTGATTCATTAAATTATATTATGTACTGTAGATCATCCCCAAGTTCTTTGCTATTTTATGGTGAAAAATGTTAAGTCTTGAGTGGTTGCACTATTTACCTGTGCAGTTTTACACAGAGTGGTGAATCCCTCCCCATCTTTACGTCTGAAAGACTCATCCTCTCTGAGATGCTCTTTTTATACCCAATTATGTTACTGACCTGTTACCAATTAACCATCAGGTGTTATTTAGCATTACACAACTTACAGCATTACAGTCTTTTGTTGCCCCGTCCCACCTTTTTTGAAACATGTTGCTGGCATCAAATTCAAATAAAATCCAGTTTCAACATTTGGTACGTTGTTTTTGTACTGTTTTCAATTAAATATAGGGTTTAAATTATTTGCACATCATGGCATAGTGTTTTTATTTACATTTTACACAGCATCCAAAATTGTGCTACAATTCCAGACATTTTAATACAATTTCAGACCTAGAAAAAGAAAAATTTATTTATTTAAAATTAAATTAAAGACATTTTAAAACTTTTCAAGGATCTGCAGGAACGCTGATGTGTTTTTACAAGCAATGTACATTTTGTAACATTTTGTAACATTGGTTGTGCTTTAGACTACTACAAATGGATGAATCCATTTGTGTATTGCGTATAGAGTATCAAGTATCAGGTTGAGTATAATTGAGTATAATTGAGTATAATGACTTCATCAAACTGTGCTAGATTCTGGCCCTCATAGACTGGAGTTGAGAACCCCTAGTGTACGGTGTAGGAGCACTTACTCTGAGGGCACTGGCTGAGGGGCACCTGCTCAATGCGTGTGCCGTTCCTGCAGGCAGACACCTCCAGCTGACACTGGTTCTGGTAGAGCTGGCTATCAGAGCCACATACTGGCTCTCCATCATACCCACAATCCCTGTAGCATGTACAGCGTTCATAGTGCTCTTCCTCTGGACAGCCAAACACATTATTACACTGACTGCCCTGCACAAAGCCTGTAGGAAGAAAGTAGGAAAAAGAGAGAGAAGGAGGAAAAAAAGATGGAATAAGGAAAAGTGTGACAGAAATAAAAAGTGCATAAGGTGAACTTGTTGAGTAACTTGACATGCACACTCTAGATATTCTGGAGGTCCATCTTCACAGCAACTCTACATCAAATAAGTCAGGGTCAGGCTGCGGCCACTACTATAGCAACAGGGCCAAAACCCAGCCATCTGTTGTAGCAACATCAGCCACCGCTAATAAGCGTGCCTGTGTGCTACACCACAAACAAAAACACACTCAGAGCTCTGCAGGAAAAGCAAAGAGTTGAGTAGGGCCTGTTGATAGAATGTTTCGTTTGCACAACTCCCTGCCCCGTTGCTGTAATGCAACAACAATGTGTTATTGTAATGCACCAACAATGCACGACTGAAAGAGCAGAACCATATGGATCTGAAGGGTAAAAGACACTATCTCATCTTAATGTTCTCTTTCTAAGACCATACCCTTATTAAAATAGACATGTAAAATCTGAAGCATACCCCAGGTTCAGCAACATGACTGGATCTCATAGATGCTGTTCAGCCATGTGGCCTTGAATGGTGAGTAGCTGCAACAAACCCTGTATCGTGCTTTCTGCTAGCAGCTGTTAATCTTTGTTTGTCCCCTATGGTGTATACACTCTTTCTACATTCTGTTTAAATATTTCTCACTCTTAGCTCACTGAAACAAGCAGAGAAATTCTGTTGAAAGTGTGGATTCTAAACTTTGAATACTAGGAGATTTTTTATAATTTGAATTTGATTTAAATTTACTATTGTGCATACAGTATTTATTCTTTTCAGAAAACCAACATTTACATTTTTTGGCATGATTCTGTCATTTCTTGAAAACAAACAGACATCTAAGGGTTACATGCAAAGCATCTGCTGCCATGAGAGTGGAGAGTGAGTTGAAGAATGGCCAGGTTAGTAAAGAAAGAGTTGAGATGTATTGCTGGCTGGAAATGGTGACTGTACCTGTCCACTGGTTACTGGAACTCTCTACTTCATTACATGAGGTACCATCACACAGCTCCCGTGCCAGTGGACTGCTCTCACTCACGTTATAGAAACGGGTGGCCTCAAATGCTGCACACAGACATATATACATATATAGACATATATGAGCCAACAAGGTATCTGACGTGATGTGTTTTTCACATTTGGAAATAAATCCTACCTGGCTCATAATAGTCATAGACCTTGACTGGCACTGGTGCTGTCTTTCCCACAATGTACTCCCTCACTGCCTGAAAGGCTACACAAGTCATGCACTGACTGGGGATCTGTGGGAAGCAATAAACACACAAAATTGAAACCCCTCAGCATGTTCAGAAGTCCTAACCCAGTCTGTACGATGCTACATTCATTTTACATATACTTTTTTCAATTCAGTAGCAAGAATGTAGGTGCTTGTTTTGCGGAGCAGATCCACAGAAAGGCTGGACAGAACACAGATGATAAGGGTACTTGTTGAACTCATTAATAGGCCTGTTGCTCACCTCATCAAAGTAGAAGAGGACTTTACGGCCCTCCATTTCGTATCTCTTGAGCCCCACTCGTTTATCCATCAACAGCTGCAAACAGAATAAGTAGTTCATAATGTGCAGACAAATTACATAAATACAGGCGTCACTATTGGTTACATTAATAACGGAGTAATCTAATTAATATGACAATTTAGTAATCAGAATAAATATCAGAATAAATATCTTTACTGAATCATAACAGATCATGTAGGACCTTTCAAAGATTCCAAAGAACTTCACTTGAAAAAAAAACTAACATATATATATATATATATATATATATATATATATATATATATATATATATATATATATATATATATATATATATATATATATATGGGAAAGAGAGAAAGTCCATAAATTGTTTTAAGAAAATGGTTCTATATAGCACCCAAAAGGTCTTTTTTAAGAGTGTATATAACACGTAGTATAAAAACACTGTGTCTGTGTCCATCAGATATAAAGGTTTTAAGGTTTGGCATCAAGGCATTATCATTACGCAAACAGCCAACTAATTACTGCTGACTGATTGAGATAGATTTTTTTTTCACTCTGTAACTGAATTGAGTTTAATCAATTCTGTCATCAATTCTGTCATGAAACAGATTGTGATTCAGAAAATGGTAAGGTGACAATATATAACAGAGAGCAGTAAAAGAGTACATCTTTTAGAGCCTCACTGTTTGTTTAGGGATTCTCACAGCACAATTAGGAGTAGATTTTGCAGCACCGCCCAGTTGTAATCTTACAGCTGGAGCCAGAAGGGCTTTAGTTTCTACATGGACAATGAAACGGTCAGGATGAATTAGTCAGACTCTGTTTACCAGTGTGTGTATGTGTATGTGCGTTAAATGTGTCCTGCTGGGACATGGGAGAGGGGGCGAGCTCCTAAACATAGGAGTTTTATAAGGGTCTCTCACACACATGCACACACACCTACTGCTGCCCCATATAAACTGTCACTCAATAGAACTGCATGAGTTTATGCATGTTTGTGAGCTCTGTTCACAAATGGAAACCACTGCATCACAACCATTTCAGTACAAAAGATTTGTTTCTTCACATAATCTCATTTTTCATTGCACCAGCACAGACCTTTGGCTGCCTTATTCTGATTCTGTCTCTGACAGTTCCACAGTACCTGACCACAGTATAAGGAGATGACCCCCCCCTCCCCCAGCACCCTATCAAAACAACGAGACATGACGGCATAAGTAAGCCTGGATCCCATAAAAACCCTGGAATGCAAACAACGGCAGCCATGTCATAAACATGGAGCCAGCCAGAGGTGGCCATGTAAAGCCAGCTCGTTAGCAGCTAAAAGTGCTAACAGGGTTGTCCCACCACAGTAAGGCCTGAAGCCTAATTGTAGCACAGTGCTCCCCGGGTAGCCTACGCTTTATTAGCGTGGGGGACAGGAGGCTTGGGACATATAACAAGGCTGTAATGAGCGACATGCAGTTGATTGAGGGCTGGGGGGAAGTGACCTCAGCTAACTCACGGACTCCATACACCTCATCAAACCTTCCACCCCCCATGTTACTAGGCTCCATACCCCAGTGAGAGTCAGGGGTTTTGAGGGGACCTGGTTCAGGCTGCTGTTGTAAGGTTATAGCTCTGTGGAGGATATGCTAGGGCTTCATGACTCTTTCCTAGGAATTGGGCAACTTGAATGAGGTTGAGTTGGCCGGCAGCCAGACATGCTTTTATATGCTGCTATAAAACCAGTCATCTGATAATATTTACAAAAACACAAAATAAAGATTGAGCAGCATTGCCAATCCTATTCACTACGATACTTCTATTGACATCATTTTCAATCTAAAAAATAGTGAGGGCTTGAAAGACACACTTCTGTTTCTCAAAATAACGACCCAAAACGATTAAAAAATTGTGCTATAGTTCCACAACAATCTCCTCTTTATGCACAGTCCACAAGCAAGGGTGTGAACACCATGTATCTTACCCTTTCCAAGCTCTCAACATCAGCACGGAAGCCAGATAGCAGAGGGATCTCCAGGACAGCCATGTTGGATGAACCAGGATGTAGCCATCTGCGGACAGGCAGAGAGCATGAGGCCAAGCTGCTGGTCCAGGATAAGCTTGACACAAGAACTAGGTAACAAAAGAGCACACTCTAAAGTGTGCACTTACAAAACTGTATCTAACCTTATCCACCTAGTGTTGTCACTTAGCAAGAAGCTGGTTTTGGCTATGTTCACATTACATGGTTGAGGTGGCACAAATCTGTGACAAATATCTTTTCAACCCAGATTTGAGCCACTTTCAAATGTGGACCTACACCGGATACATATACAATACATGGTCATGTTAGCTATGACAACAACAGTTAGATCAGAATTGTCCAGTGTGGGCATCAGGTCATCAAAATGAAAAATGAAATGAACCTTTTTTAGGCAACTGTGTCTGAACACTTCGGAATTAGACCTCCGCATTTAACCCATCCATGCAGTGAAACACCACATACACACTAGTGAACACACACACTAGGGGGGCAGTGAGCACACTTGCCCAGAGCAGTGGGCAGCCCTATCCACGGCACCCGGGGAGCAGTTGGGGGTTAGGTGCCTTGCTCAAGGGCACTTCAGTCACGTACTGTCAGCTGAGGGGATTGAACCGACGACCTTCCGGTCACAAGGCTGATTCCCTAATCTCCAGCCCACAACTGCCCCCAATAGCTAATGATGATAAAATTAGCTATAGTTTTCAGGACAGAGGCGTATTCACACTAACGACAAAGTACTGTGCAGTCCCACTTTGAAAACAGTCTTCAGTCAAAATGGCCATTAAGTACAAATTATTCACTTTTCAGGAGATATTTCTGACTAAGATTAGACGTAATACAATTTACCAACATAAGAAAGGGGAAAGTCAAAGGGATTTCTTGTTAAAAAACAAGAAAAGCGAAAACTGAAGTTCAAAAAATGATTAAAAGAATATTGGGTTCCTAAAAAACGTGCAAGACCAGGTAGACAATTATAACTGTCAATAGATAAACAGTACTTAAAGCTTTCATCTTTGAGAAAATTGAGCTTCACTCTTGCTTCAGATCTGAAAATATCCACAGGCCTTTCTGTCCATCCTTCCACTGTGAGAAGACTCTCAACAGTGTTATAGGTCTGAAAGGATGTGTTGTGGTCAAGAAGCTATAACTGAGAAAGGGAAATAGATAAATAGAAGAAAATCAAATGTGCAAATCACACAAAGAAGATTACTGTTTGGATCATTAGATACAAAACCAACTCTTACACTGGAGATGTAGACCATTTCTAATTTTTTTCGGCAAATTTCTTTGAAACACTGAAAGCAATGGAAGTTGTAACGAAGGCAAAGGGTGGACACGCTAAATACTGAGGCTTCTGTGTAATTTATTTAATATGTATTTTCTGCTTTTATTCCTAAAGCAAAAAAATTAATAACTTGTACTTATTTGCAGTTCTGACTGGAAATTAAATAAATAAAGGGGGCCTCTGACATTTGCACAGTACTTTAAGTCATTTAAATGTTTCCTGAATGTGAACAGTTAACACAGAAAGACTGGATCTGAGCAAAAACTGCAATAAAGCAATGTAACGTAAACAAACATGAAGCAACCAAGTTAAGATCAGACGATAATGTTCATAAGACAGGATGAAGGTGTTTCACTGTACCTGGTGCAAGCTTCAAGAGTGAGGCGGTAGTCCAGGTGGTCCTGGTGGCCAGCGGGATCCTCGTCATCGGCAGGGGCCCTGCGGGAACGACTTAGCTCCGAGCGGTTAGCGGCACGGGAGCGGGTGCGAGAGGATGAGTGCCACGAGGAGGAGAGCGGAATGTGGCGCTCCTGCCTGGGCTCCTTCAGCTGCACCATCAGCTGGAAGGCCGGCTTAGCTACAGGGTCAGGGACGTTATAAGTCACATCGATCTGAAGAAGAGGTAACAAAAATGGCAACTAGACTGTTATTAATGAACTGAACATACATGAAGATTGCTAAGAAGTCATGGAAAAATGTGCACTTTCTGCTGCAATTTACACATATGCTTACACAGAAACACAATGTAGTGAGCACCAACCACAATTTCTTTCATGTGGTCCCCCTGTGTGTGATTAAAGGCTGCAGTACAAACCCTCCCTCTGAGCCTAAGGCACTGTCAGGCTGAAGAGATCACACACAGACACATCCTACTTAATCTAAGAACATGCCTTATGCTTTATCATTTTCATCCATATTTTTATCTCTTTTGCAAATAAAGACATTTCAGGTGCACTTATTACACAATTACTTTCCTTGCCAATAGCAAAGCAAGTAATCAACTAACCTTCTATATACATTTTACCTTTTACCAGTGAGGAACAGATTTGGAATGGGCTTTTAAGATTCACATTTTTCATAACAATTATCCTAAGCACAACACACAGCATCCGGGGACTGGGGAAATATGCCAAGCTGTTGTTTTTTGGGCCCTGGTTTCAATGAGCCTTTTGTTTTGGGGGACAAGGTACAAGAAAAAAATGGCATCCTAGCCAGGGGGTAAGTAATTGGGAAAGAACATACCCGTGTAGTACAATTGCCAAAGTTTTACCAGATCTCAGTAATTTCCATGGAGGAATGTGGACATTTAGCACTGAATGAGTCATGGAAACAGACCTGGATGTCCCTACGGAGGAATTCATTGCTAGAGAGAACCTAATAAATCGTACAAAGAAGGAGGACAGAGAGACGTACCTGCATCAGACAGCAGCCTTCTCCTTTGGCGCTCACAAACAGCCCTGTGGGAATACTGGGGATCTAAGGGAGGCAGAGAAAGGATGAATAAATGCGAGAGAAAGGGCAGAACCAGAAGGCTGAGAAAATGGAAATTATTGCTCAGAATTAATGAGGCAGGTGCAAATAAACTCTCTAGAGCCTGGCATCCTTTTAGCCTGGTTTAAGTACAAATAGTTAACTAGCAGACAGGAAAGAAACAGGCTCAGCAAAGCTTGAAAGAGGCCTTCAGCTAAGAAGTAACCCATTTGTCTCTACACATGCATCCAAAAGTGAGCAAAAATTTTGAATAGGATTGGTTTTACACTGTATGTATCATACAGGACCTTTTATATCAAAGAACTGCATTATGTATCTGCTGTAAATATGTTATAAGAACCAACACTTTGGTCCAAAAGTAATGCCAAAAACATTGTAATAAAGCTAACAATACTAGTTTTCTAGTACTGAGTTGAAATTGGTTCCACATTTCTGTCTGACTGCACACAGAAGAAAACTTGGGAACACCCACCGACATGAGAGCAAAACAACATGACAATAGTGCCTCAATGTGCTGTTGAGTTCATATATTAACATACTTTGCTTTCAAGACATGATAAGGACATGTCTATGACATTAATTTCAAGCTAAAAGTAAAGGTGGGAACTCCTCAAATATAGCAACTGTAATCTGATGATTAATTAACAACTAACATTATAAAATGTGTATTTATTCAGAAAATACACATACTGCGATTATTTTTGCTTGAAATTACTGACACAATATTTGATATGGCTTAGTCTCAAATCATCTTATTGGTTCATCCAGAGGGATGTGTGGGTGTGGGTTCCAGAAATCTTCTTTTCAGAGTATCATTAATGAAAGAATATTGCTTACTTGAATAACGCAAATAATTAAGGCTGCTGTTTGCTCTTTCCGTTTGCTAAGCACTTGAAGCTTCACATCATTTATCATTGTTAACATTCATTATTAATTTTTTTAGGAAAGAAGTGACTGTTGAATGTTATTTCTGTTTTTGTTGTGCTAATGTTTTTAAGAATTGCATTATTTCACTGGTATTGGCATTGACTACCAAAACACACCTCTAGTCAGCTAGTACAGCAGGGTGGCCTTGGTGACAATGAGAATTATTTACCACAGCTTTCTGCAAAATCTTCTTATTATCCCGTTGAAGCTCAAAGGTCTCTTGAAAGTCCAGATTGGTTGAGGCCAGAGAGATGGTTAGGTTCACACCTCCAACATAGGACAAGATGGCATATTCCGATAGTGCTTGCAGGGCTACACAAGTGTCCTATAACATTAGAATGTTAGAGATTCCTTAAGGTTTGAGTCACAGTTCAGTTAGGATGATGTATCTTAAACATTCTCTGTACATTCAAGAAAGCGCTGTTCGCTACCTGAGTTGAGGAGAAGCCACCAAGCGCATTCCTTTGTTGAGATAACCATTTAACTACAGGAAGAGCAGATGCTACATCACCCATCAAGGTGTAAGTGAGCAGACCATAGGCTGTCATCTCCACCTCTGCTGACACCACTGATGGAAAAAGAAAATAGTATGTTCTGGGTTTGCACAATGAAAGCAGCACTTGCTATGACAGACTGCACTGATCCAATACCCAGTAGTGGTATCAAGCCAACACCAGCAAGATCAGACATCGAAGGTGAAACAGAACAAATCTCATCAAAGTCTGTAACAAATCTATCCTGAAATATCAGAAATAATGCAACATAATATAAAGTTAAGTATGTCACATGATAACATTAACAACAGTAGCCACATTATTTGCTAGGTACTTCCTCCTGTGGAATAACAGAGCATTTGAGCATGTTAGCCATCTTATGTAAAGTGATAAGCTCACTAGTTTTTAAAGAAAAAAATATCAGCAGGATCAGCAGTAGTTGCTGTTGAGCTTAACTAAAACTGTTACAATTTGTTGTATTCTTCGTTGAACAAGTGAAGATGGAGAGTGACAGCTGGATCAATACCTGACTGGGAAAGGCCATCATTAAAACCCATGAAGGTGTCCTCATCAGCCACAGTGCTGCCAGTGAGACTCCAGTGAGTAAACCCATCTGTACGCATACAGAAGATAATAGTGAACAAATAATGAGACTGTAAAAACGGCTGTATTTTTGAGTTTTATTCCTGGTTAACCCATCTATCGTACAATTTGTGATTTTTTTGACCAGCTTGCTTTATTTTTGATCAAAATGATTCAAGTTTGTTGGATCAATCAAAGGTCAATATCTTCATTCATCCAGACACCCACAGAAACGTATCTGGAGCGTGAAAGGTTGGTCAGGATGCTCACAGCACATAATGAATGATAAAGACCTTTAAAGACCAAAAAGTATTTTGAGCTCTCAAAAAATGCCTGATGAAATTCATGCACATGGGATTGACAACCATTGAACTGTACCGTCTAAGATTATACATTAAGGTCACTTCTACTAGTGCACAGACATTGTTGGAATACCTTGGGTGATGGCCATGTGGTTGAGGCGTCGTAGGGCCAGGGGGGCATAAGGGCTTCGCAACAGAGCAAGAGCATATGCAGAGAGAGCTGTTGTGTATGGGTCATCAGCAGAGTATGTGTTACTCTCCAGGAAGGCCTTAGCTTTATCCACAGCAAGCTTCTCCTCCTGCCAAAAAGATACTTCTGCTTTAAGGAAATAATACATTATGTTAAGAAACCAACATGTCCAATGACCCTCCAAGACGTGTTTCCTCACAGTCTAGGAACCTATGCTAAAATCAGTCGTGCATAATCTAATTTGTAGCCCAATTGTAACCTCAGCATGCCGATAAATCAGAGTCGATCCAAAACCACTTACAGCCATGTTAAATAGTATGTCAAAACATTCTATAGTGTAGTATGCATAGTTGTATGTGGTTTTGAATAAAGTGATCGGAGGCCTTCTGATATTTTTAAACGCGTGATTTTTACGATTAAAGACGTGACAATTTATGATTTCTGTAGTGTGAGATGGTCAGTGTAACTGAACATATGCTTATTGCAAAAGTCAATAAAAGAGCTAGGAAAGAAAAAAAGGTAAAGCAATGGGTATGCACAGTGATGAAAAAGCTGTTGAATAAGGCAAATTTACAACTGCAGTGCTTTTATAATAACAAAAGCTTCGAAGAACTTACTTTACAATTTTATGTCAACTTGCCAATTCATAGTAAAATACTGATGACATCCACATTTCCCAACCCCATATTCATCTAAATATTTGTCTAAATGATTTATAAAATATGGTTTGTAAAAATCACAGACTAGTCTGGTGCAGTTCCAGCTTTGTGCTGTTGTCACATATTTGGGACTCTGAGAGCTTTTTCATAGCCAAAACTCGATACCTGTGTTTCTGCATTATCATCTAAAGAAAAGACAATACAATAAATTCTGTAAAGACTGCTAAGATGTGTAGTATACGCCCAGCTTTAGACTTATGTATTGCTCAGGTGTGCCAACATTTCTTGTACAGGTGTTAGTATTATTTATTTACATAAAAAAAGCCTGAATTTTTGAATAGTCTCATATTAGGACCTCAGGACTTACCAAGTATCAATCTCCAAAATGTAGATACTTGCTGATAATGTTTCATCTGTTTGATACTGGAGCACTGATCTGTTCCAGATGTCCTCTTTCTCATGGATGCTATCCCTGATCAGTCACTCATGCTAATCTAAGCAGTCTTCTTATCATTAAGTCAATTTGAAAGTGGAAGGATTTGGGCCTTTGAAGTAAGCTAAGCAGGTGATTCCTTTTGCGCTTCGAAGAGCAAAACTCTCAAGATCAACCTGGGTTGATAAGAAGGATCGGGAACATAGCCAAGCCCCAATCTCTCACAGAATCAAGGCACTGTGAGTTTTGTGGATGAAAAGACAATATCTATATAAATCAGCATGGTCTATACATGATTAGTATTTGGCTCACTACCTCGAGTGATGGTAAATAACAATTTATATTAATAGAGTTTTACAGTTTACCAAATCTGTAACACTTTATATACATGCAGAACTCAAAGTAATTCCAAGTAAGCTGAAAAGAATGTGGGCAGAGTGAACATTTTAAAGAATTCTAGTGTATCTACATGCTTTTATCATAAATCTTTTGATTTAGACAGCAGGGTTCCATATTAGATTTCTGTCACATAGCTGGAAAAAAAATACTGTTGATATCCAGCCAGAATATCCATCTTCTCAGCTAACAGGAATGCACTCAACACAGGTCGGCAATATTTGTCTGAGTAGGTTGGTGAGACGGTGCCAAGAGCCTGCTGAGTTATTTTAAGTGGGAAGAGTGCTAGAGGGAACTGAGGACCTGCACGGGGGAAAATTCAGGTATAGACCAAATACATAGGAAAAAATCCTAAAAGAAACTAATCTCTCACCTCAGTTGTAATCCCGGTCTCCAAGAGAGCTGTCACCACATATGCTGTCAATGAGATCTTTCCATGGATCCCACCCTTTCAGAGAAACAAACAGGTTAACGTCCACAAGTGATGAGAAAGAACAGCTCAGCTGAATGATAATTTGTGACCTAGAACTCTACTTGAAAGTGCAAACAATACATTTTCTTGTCCTGCCACATTTGTCACAGCTTTAGTCCATTAACATCCATACATATTTGCTCCAGGACAACTGTGAACGTCTCTGCTTGGGTACCTGCAGGTCTTTGTTGAGTATCCTGCCCATAGCAGGAAAGGAGCCTTCTTCTCTTTGGTGGCTGATCAGCCAGGCTTTGGCTGCCTGCAATTCCTCTGGGTCAATGAAGATAAAACCACGAGACTGAGCAAAAGACTTCAGCACAAATGCCGTCAACCTGCAGAAGAGAATGGTGCCAAAACCCATCATGCATATAGAGATGCTGAGACTTAACTTTAACCTGTTTTGCTATAGGTCTTTGTATCACAGCATACATTTAGCTAAAATTATCTCTTCAGTGTCACTTGAATTTTATTTAAATATAGAGAATGAAAAATAATCAGTGTCTGGAATATAGCTGATGCAAATGGCTTGGTGGTTGACAGGGCATCTGATGGGAGGTGTCATTTTCTGTCCTGGAGATACATGTGAAGATCAGTGTTACAGGACCAAGCAGCTGTTCCATCTGGAAAATCCGGAAAAGTCATGATACCACATCAAGTATGTTTCTGCATGCCGACATATCAGAGCAGCATTCCATACTTTTAACTGACAGCTATCCTGGAGTACCCTTCTCTCGAAAAGGCGTCCTGACTTCACTTCATGACGTAAGTGAGGATGAGCTCAGAGGCACAATCTGAAACAGCTTAAGGCAATGGTGAGGAGCTTAGCACAGCAAGTGCTCCCACCTCCATAAGTCATTGCAACCTCTCCCCATTCCAGCACGCAAGCCCTGCGCCGACTTAGTTTAACGGCAACATGGCATGTCATGACAACATTCCTCTGGGAGCCGCCAAGCAATGAGGCAAGCTGCTTTGTCAATGAAAGGAGAGATCGGTAAATAAACAGTCACTTTTTTTTAGTGTACATTTGGGTTGTTACTACAGGAACAAGCCAAACACCCACTCATTAACAAGGGTATGATATCCAGGCCCTGGATGTTATTTCTCCCAAGAGGAGGAACAGGGCTGGAGCCTCCGGCCTGAAGGAATTTTTATAATGTTAAGTAATACTGTGTCAGAGGCTATAATGGCTTGTCCCTTGAGAGAGGCTCTAGGAAGTGTAAACATGATTTAGAGGGCAAGGAAATGAAGGAGACAGACTCAGCTTCCTTAGTTCAGGCTTGCTCAGGTCTTACAATCAGTGATTAGCTAACTAGAGTTTGGCTTTGGTAGAAAACTGCTAGAGCAAATGCTCTAGATAGAAAGGCATATACTATGACTGCACAATATGAATGAAATTACATATTAACATTTAATTGTACCGCTACATATTGCGATTATAGTATAACTTACAATATATTACAAACACATTAGTGAATACTTGACGTGGCATAGTTAAAGACTAGCCTGCATTATTTTTGAGCAAAATTATTTTTTGCTTGTTCAATCAGGTGAATATCCTGATTCATCCAAACACCCAACGAAACTCGTCTGGAATGTGTGAAGTTGGCCAGGACTTGCATATCGCAGCACTCTGTGAAACCAATATTGCAAAGACTAAAATAATGTGATAGCAGTTAACAATATGCTGTTTAGCCCCAGTGTATACTGTCAAAAGTGAAGCGATACAGTCAAAAGTTTTCTAATCCCACAGTTATATAGATATCATCATAGTTCAAGGTTGCGACAGAAAGATCGGGATGTAGTCTTGACTCTTTACTTCAAACCTGCTTAGCAAGTAGTTTACAAGATTTTGAGGGACCGTTGGGGGTTACTGGGGGGTGCATGTGAGGAGTGAGGGGAATGGGGGGGTTACACCGGTTACAGCCACATGTGGCTCTCATTGGATCCAGAAGTGTCAGGTATGTGAACGATGCCAGAGGATAGGTTGCTAGAACCTGCACAGAACACAAACAACTTTCCTTTCTTTCTCAAAGACATGCTAATACTCTGCTACACTCTCCTAAAGCATGCCCTCCAGGCACTGACTAGGAATGCTCTCTGATTAATTGCTCATGCTTAATTCCAGCTCAATAAGTGCCAGACCAGACTAGTACTGAAGAACTTCACATCACCAGGGCACCAAAACACTGATGGAGACATTAAATACTCACTGTGTTATTATGCTCAATCTTTTAATTAAGAGCAGCAATTTCCTCTCACATTGCCTGGCCAAAGCTGGGACATATTAACCCAGTACTAAGGCTGCTGTTAACCTGGCCTTAAATGATGTGTGCTAATGATTAACTCTGGAGCAGAAACAAAAGCATGGCTGTTCAGACTTAGAAACATTTTTTTCTGATGGATTAATAAACTGTTGGTTGCAGATTTGTGTAAGGGTTCAACACCTGCAAAGGGCTTATTGCCAATGGCTTTGAAGGTACTGCCACGGTAATGCCACAAAATTCAGTGATTCATGAAGTCAAAAGGCTTCTTAATGCATGTTTCCCAAGTGAACGTGTGTCATGCGCGCTGATGGAAAATTGAACAGGGTGTCTGCCAGTTTACAGAGGATCAAGAGACTAATTGCTTCGAACAAGATGTGCCCTACTTCTAGCCTCATGAATAGCCAAAGCTAATTCTCTTTTCCTGTACAGGCTCCCACATGTCTGACAGCATAAGGAAAGAGCACTATAGCTAGCAACAGGGGGGCTAAAGGCATCTATTCTGAACTATTGGAAGGAATTCCCCAAACTACATAAATTAAGGCGAAAATGACTGGAGTCAAATAACTGGAGTTCGGTTGCTTATTAAGACTCATGAGTCTAGTTATTCTTGGTTTTAACAATTCATGCCTTTATAAAAAAGCAAATTACCTACTCCATAAAAAAACATATATTACTGAAATGTGCCCACAGGCAGACACACAGAGGGCAAAGCTGTTGAAAGATAACTGCATATGCAGGAAGTCTTCATGTTGAAGATTCAAACTTACCACATGCTTCCAGAAGAGTCTCTCTCTCCAAAGGCACTGTAGGAGCCATCCTGCCTCTTATATGTTAACTGTCTCTGATATCCTATGGTACATTGAAAGTGTAATTTTTTTACAACTGTAAGTGTAGAAGAAACTTAATCTACAGCAAACTTATAGTGATTTACAAAGAAAGTTGCTTGTAATGAGTATGGACAGGTATGAATATAAGGGTTGAGGGTCAATTCTGGAATTTGGGAAAAATCTACATTACAGCAGTACCTTGTAGTAGGTAGTCTGTGGCTTCTGCCTCCACCTCTGGGCTGAGTTGATGAGTTTTCTGCAGGTACTTGAGCACAAAGACATTTGGTGCAAAATGGATCATGTTCTGCTCCCCGCAACCAAAGGGCAACCGGAGGAGTTTGTCCAGATTATTGAGAGTAGGACCCATGACATCCCCTGGGACACAATAATAAATTGCTTGTATATATCACAGAGTTTAACACTTTAAATCTTAGGCTTACTGCTCAGTTAATAATCATATTATGCACTATTTGGTAACTACTACGAAACTAATTTATAAGTTATGCAGTTATGGGAGTGAGCAATTGAAGTGTGGGCCAACATATAAGAACTTGAGGTTCAACGAGTTAAGGAAACTGCAGTCTAAAATATTAAAACACAAAGGAAAGATGCATCAAAAGAACACAGTATTTATTTATGAGACACAAATAAATGTGGGCCAGATGCATTAACTTAGCTAAACTAATCCTTCTTACCAATCATGGAGGCGGTGGCTCTCTCTGAACCTGGCACCACATTGTGTGGGACTCCCAGTGTGAAGGCTTCGTTGTGGTTCTCGTCTACATCTTCTTTGCGCCATATCTTGAACTCTCCCACTGAGCCCCATCCCGTGGAAAAACCAATGTGGTGTACCTGAGCTCGGAGGGGCCCGGCCCACTGCAGGATCAGCGACTCAGTGGATGGCTCCAGGCCATAACCCACCTATCACAGATTGGCTGATGTTACCATGAGAACACTGGAAGTGAGTAGGTCCAGAGAGACACTATGCAGTTGCTTTGTATTTGCTTGATTCTGAGCCCTTAAAAGCCTCTCAACACAATGCTTTCCAGATTTTTCACATCAGCTACATCCTGACAAAATTAAGAGGCAATTAGTTCCTGCCGTGTTACAAACATGTATGGCCTCATTCAGAGGAAATGAAGCAAACATGACTCTACTTCAATTTAATAATAACACACAGGAAGCCAATTGAGATCTCCTTAAAAAAACAGTTTGATGAATATTGCAATTTACTAGCAGCTTTTGATACTTGGGCCAAGTGGTAGCCAAGCCTTGGCAAAATCTAGTCCCTTCACCTTAAGCCTACCTAAACCCAATTTGTAGCCTCACGCAGAGTTCCCCTGATATCAACATGATTTTATGGTTGCATTAAATTTAAGCCTACATAAAGAGGATCCAATCTCATCAAACCAATCTGCAAAGAGGTCACTAAATTAACAAATGCAACTCTGGCTATAGGAGAACAGGGGAGGCCATGCAATACATTTTCAGTTTAATTGCTTTTAATGGTGAGTAGTGTGGGTCCAATATTGGACATGAACCCTGATCGCCAGTGTGAGAAAGGTACTGGCCATGGATCACTGAGTCCCCACAGTGACATCAGCCAACTAAGCATGACCTCACACAAGTATGCCATTAAAAGCCCAGTCTGTGTGCCAAGTCAGTATGCCAGGACACTCCAATACACACATGCACACACTCAAAGAAGCCCCTTTTGCCCAGACGCCAGGAAACACTCACACAGAAATCCTATGGCTCTCAGCCAGTGCTCCTAATTCCAGTGCCCAGAACTAGCCCTCAGCCAAACCAAAACAGTTTCTTATTCTATTTCTGGCTCATTCATTCCTTTCTTAATCCATCCATCCATCTACCCATCTATTAATCCAACCAAATGTTCATAAATGAAACCTCTGGCCAAACAGAACATTAGTACATTGCTTTTGCCATGTATCAGGAAAGAATTTCCTACCTGAACCCCACCCCCCCTCCAGCTGATCCAAAAGCTACGGAACTCGTCCCAGGACAGGATACCAGGTGTGGGGACGCTGACCACAGGTTCCCCCATCTTTCCCACTGAGATCCAAGAGCGAGAGTTCTGCCTGCCACCCAGCACCACCTCCACCATCTCAGTGCTGTCATGGGCGCTTGGTGCCAAGGCAATGTGGGCATCATTGTGTGTCTTTACTGATACTTGTATGTGTGTGACTTTCGATGGCTTCTTCACATACTGGTATTCATACTTATTTGGCGTGGAGATATGGATTCTTTCTGCAATGAGGTTTTAGCATCAGGAACAGAAACATAATTGTGGGGGCATGCATAAATATCTAGTCTATCTAGCACAAAATATCAGTCAATGTTCTACTAAATTAGATGACATTATGTTAACTAGATTAATCAAGAAGCCTGATACTGGTGGCCAAATGTACACACTTGAGCTGACACTTAAGCTGTGTAGTGGGTGTTTATGTAAGTGAACTGAAAGAGGCTTGCTTACCATTTGGACAAAAGAAGACACTGTACGTATACTCTCTAGGTAGACCTTCAGGCTATGGAGACATAATAGGTGAGTAACCATTTCTCATGACATGTATCTTTTTTCCTGCAGAATTTAGTCCCAGACCATGTCTAACATGCTGCCACTTCTTACCTCACTCCTCAATGCTAATATAGACCTCAAAAGTCGTACTTCATTCTATAGTCTGCATCATATAAATATTAAGAACTCCAGGTCTAAGGACTTTTGCCTATGGTGTTTTCAAAAATAGCCCATATTAAGCCCTGTTTCAAACAAAAATGTTCAAAACCCAATACTTTTAGTCCTGTGTGTATTTTATCCCAAATGTCAGTGTAGCCTCTGTTTTGTGAGGTTGTTAAGGAGATAAAATGTAAAAAATGCTAAATGCAAGCTACAAGCACGCTAACACTCCTGTGCATTAAAATGATGTTGCACAAAAGTAAGTCTATTATTAAACTTCTATATTGTTATATGCCAATATCAACTACTTTAAGTATAGCAATCTCTAATGGCTACTTGCATCCCGCTACATATGGCAGCCTGCTGCTGCTGAGTGAACACAGTGTGCAACATTCTACAGTTCATTTTTTGCTGGTGAGACTAAGGGAAGTTCTTCTAAAGACATGAATTAGTTAGGGCAGGTGTGGCACATTATGGTTGGAACTAGACTTGACAAGAAGGCAGATCTCCAGGAGCAAGGTTGGTGACCACTGCAATAAGGTAACATAAGAGAGTATGGGGAAGTGCAGCTCGTACCTCTACCAGCACACTTCTGCGCACATAGTCCGTTCCTGCAGGGCTCCTGCGCTCCTCCTGCTCCTCAGTTGCTTTGCCTGCTTTATTGGGCTGCAGGCCGTCAGAGCAGCAGCTTGGCTCACTGTACGCAATAGCACGAGCTGTCACCAAAACAAACCACAGCAAATTACATCAGCCACTGTATGGAGTCTACTGACAGAACCCTGGCTGTAAGCTCTATTATCAAATTGATGTAAAAATGGGGGTGGCTGGAATAGGTGACCATTTTGACAAACTTCAGTTACATAAGCTCCTGACTTACTGTAAATGGATGAAAGGGGCTATGCAAATACAATGACTGTGGCACATAATGGTGCCATTTACGCTATACAAAAACCCTGCTTATCTTCATCAACCATGATTGCTTTGGATGTGTGTGTGAAAGGTGTGTGAAGTACACACACATGGGTCTACGGCAAGATGGCCATATGCCAGCGCAGTCTCTTTGTGTGTGTGTAGTGAGAGGGAATGACCAGGGCTCACAGAGACTAGGACAGAACCATGGGGGGCTCATTGACCAGCAGTGACCCGCAAACTCATCCACATGCCACTGGGAGCCACGGAGAAGCCGGCCTCCCTTATCCAGCCCCCCCACTGACCACCAGCTTTGTCCCCAGGATGTACTTTTCTCTGCTATTGTTTGCTGCCCTCAAATGCACTGAGGGTCATTTCCAGCAGGAGCCATTACATGGAAGCCATTGCATGAATGTTCGCATAATGCTTTTGCTAAAGAATTATTCGAAGTTGAAATAATGTAAGCATTAGGAATGTGTTAGTAACTGAGCATTCACATATGTGTAGTCAAAACATCTGTCCATTGCCAAAAAATGTCTCATTTTTTGTTGTGATTCTTTTCTTGTGTAATACTAACATTTGTTTGTGATTTCTTGCATGCATCTGGACCACTACTGGACATCAAAAGCAAACCACGTGGGTTTGGATTTCAAAATATTTGTGCTTCGGTCTTAGCACTCAGTTCACCCTACTATGAGTGAAACTGTTGTGATATCACATGTTCAGCTGCAGGACACTTGAGTTCAACCTCACAAAGTTAATCTACACATGGTTACCTGCACCCTATGACACAGACTCATACAGCCTTTCATTCAGACACATGCAGTCTCCAAGTCAACTAGTTTTATTATGTTGGTGGGGTCAAACCTGGGTCACCCCCAGTGGGGGTGACACCAGAGACTCATGCTAGCCACTAAAGTAATCCTTCTTCAGCCACAATCCCAAGGGTGTGCAGCAGATTTGCAAAAGGGTCAAACATGAAAAGGTTATAACAAACCATACTAGCAAGTAACTTCTCAACCTTAATGGAATACTAAACTTTTGAAAACTTAAGTCAATAAATGAACATCTAAGGAAAAAAACACATGACATATAAGACTATAACAAATGCAAAAAGCAGGAAGTGGCTGTTCAATGTACTAATTTAGATATAGAACTACTATTAAAGTGGACACCAGACATCAGGTGCAGCCGCACTGCATTGGAAAGCAAAGATTCTGACCTGTGATGTTTGCTGTAACCAGCTCCGTAAAGGACAGTACTATAAAGGTAGGTGCTGCCTCTCCAGGGGCCACACACTTCTTGCGAGTCAAATGGTGCTTCCCTGGGTGACCCACAAACTTAATCCCTTTAGGCACAGACACCTTCACGTGAACCTGTGTGGCAGAATGGCAACAGTGCAACAGTGAAACAGTGTAAGTCAGGGTGTTCCTCCATAATACAGTATACACTGTGAATGGAACTCTCAGCACACAAAATTGCATCATATCTCCGGTCACTTGCTCTCACTTTCTAGCGCTCATGTAGCGTGACTTCCTGAAGGCTCATAAAGGATTTTGGGGAATTGGAGGCGCATTGCTCATTTTCCATGCTGCCTGACTCATGGTTTCCCATAGTCCCTTAAGAATTCTTCCTCTGCAATGAAATAAATGCGCACCAGTTCCATTTCTGCTCCGCATCCACATGCCATAGTACATCAATAACAGACCCCAAAATAAGAATATGGATGTCTACTCAAAATGGAGCTGACATTAGCTTGCATAACAGAATACTGAAACTCTGTGCATTTCAACCTTAAAGTGATAGCTTTTGAAAAACAATTAACAATTTAATTAGCCTATGTTGCACTTATGTACATTTAGGGTAAGTGGAAAACTGTGTAAACTAATATTTTTTGCTGAACTACAGTGTTAGGTGGATTTCTCTCTGATCAATAGGACAATAAGTCAGCATTGGCTTTTCCAGTGGCTGGCGTTTTTATTAAAAGCTTTGGGTATTACTTCTACTCTCAGCTGATCTGTTTCTTAGACTATGTCTGTTACCTCTGCGCAGGTGGGGAGGTAGTTGTAGACAGTGAGAGGGACTTTGGTCTGTTCTCCACGGATCACGCTGTATGGCAGGGTGAAGTCGATGAAAAAGGGCTTGAACGTGCGGAGTTCTACTGGATGTGCCAGGCCCAGCCCTTTCTCCTCTGAGAGACCAATCACTTCTGTCACCCAGGTGGTGATGGAATCTGGGACATCCAATTGCAACTCAGCTTCTCCACTTGCATTGCTGTCAAAGACATAAGTTAAGCAATAATAACTATGTAAATGATCATAGATAGGTAAATAGTTATATCCAGAATTCAGTAAATTCAAAATTATGGAGCTATTTTCTGATGCATGACTTGTAGCCTAATGTTCTGTGATAAGAGCAATAGGCCATTTGAGTACCTGACATTGAGGCAGTGCCATATCCATGTCTCAGGGAAGAAAGTGCGTTTGTGCTTGACTGCTCTGTAAAAAAGAAATGAAATATTCATGAGATAATTAAATATACAGGTCAAATAGAACATTTAAATTTGTAAGGCATGGTTGTAAACAAGAAATACTGAGAGTGCAAGTGGCTCTTGGTCAGTCAGTATTTGGTGGGGGTGAGTACCGTGCTGATGAGCGGGTGTGCATAGCTGCCTGGGTGGAGGTGTGAGCCTGGAAGGCAGGAACGGCCTCATCTGTGTACATGCCACCAGTCTGCCTGTGATTCAGCCTTACCATATCCGTCATCACTACCAAGCCTGTCTCCTGCAACACACAAAACCACACACCCAGCTGCTCTTTAAGACTATCAAATCAACTTTTACATTTTTCCTCTGAAAACAAGCTGCAAATGCTAATATTTTAACATCACAAGCATTTAAGTTGGCACCATTCTTACCATAAACATAATTTACACACATGATACACTTGAGACATGTCCCCATCACTATTCTGAAATGCCCAATTTTGTCTTCACAACCTTTCTGAAAGCTTTTTGAAAGTGTAGTCTGTTGATAATGTTCTTAAAATAGACAGGAATGTCTAAAATGTCCATAGAACCATGCAGAGGAAAAGTGTTTTCTCCTGCCAGGTATTCCTCATCATTAAATTGATACATGTAAGGCCCTGGCAGTTGCTGCGTGCACCAGTCCAGTCAGTCAGATATATACCCACCAAGCATGCATAATATGGGCCAACTGGTACTCAGAGTCACCAATACTGGCTCTTTTTCTGCACTGACGCCATGCTGTGGAATTACTAATTATAATGGCCAAATTAGTCAGTTAGCCCATCATAAAATGCATTTTAGATGTATTTATTCAACAAAGTTTCTATAGGACTTTAGCTTCATGTTAAAATGAATTCCTGCGGATAGCATCAATGCAAAATCCAGGGCATCAGTAGCTACAGCACTCTGCTGCAGCCTCTATGCACAATCCAACTTTTATGTAAAATTCAAAATGCAACAGAACCTTAAAGGATCAGCACAAGCCTCATCCAACATTTATTTGTCTCACTAAGACGGCAAACTTTCAAGGATGGAGCAAATACTTTAGTGCAGCAGAGTGATGTAATGGCAAGCCAATCTCACATAATTTGAGTGGTTGCTATTGTCATAGGTTTATAACATGGTGGTTTTAAACAGTGGTTAATGTCAATGGGCTGTCCTGGTTAACATAAGGCATGTCTGAACCATATGACAGTATCAGTGAATATTGTTTTTGCAAGTAAATCACTTTAGTCTGAGAACTATCAGTTTGCACATAAAACAACTAAAATACCAAAATGATTTTTTTTCTACCTATGAAATGCATTACAGTACAACAATCAAATGCAAATCTTCTCAACATGAACGCAATCTCTAACCTTGACCATGCCTCACCGTGAAAGCGAAGCGAGCATCCTTGGTGATATCCCAGTGCCACGGGAAAACCGAAGAGCGCCGTCGCCGTGATGACAATCCAGGCCACCAGAAATGCCCGTCATCTTTGGGTACGCCAAAAGCATCAGACACGTCAAAATCAGCAAGTTCCTTGAACACCTGCAAAATACCAATCAAACTCCTGGACTTCAAATCAAAACTTCTAGACAAAAGTGTTATGTTCTGGAATAAAATAAATAAATAAAATAAACAACTTATTTAGGCCAAACCTTTTCAGGGGTGAGTTGGAAGCCAGGTTTCAGGAGATACATGCTCTTGTCCACAGTGGCCACACACACACATGAGCCTTTCTCTCCTCTGACACGAAGACTGAGCGGACTGCCTGGCATCGACTCATTAGTGGACAGAGAGACTGACACCTAGAGGACAGCATTAGCCTATATTAGCAGCTGAGACAGAAAGAACAGAAAAAGAATGGAAATGGAAATGTAAGGCAACGGTGCCCAACACTCTGCAGAGTTTAGTTCTGTCCCAAATAAAAAAAATTAAATCTAGCGAATCAAGCACTTCTGTAGCATCTGACCATTACACCCAAGTGTATTACATTAGGATTTGAACTAAACTCTACATCCAGGAGCAGCATTTATTACCTCAGAAGTAAGGTATAATATTTAAGCATGAGAACCAAAAAGAGAAAACAGGTGAAGAAGAGAAGGAGAGAAGGATGATGAGAGAAAGAGGAGACAGACCTGATTCTCAAAACGAGGCAGTACGGGAATTTGCAGGCTGTCAGTCACCCCTTCTCCATTCTCACGCACATAATAGACCAGCAGGCGGCTGAGGGGCGCCATGGCAGCAATAACAGGGAAGTGCACCACAGACACACAGCTGTCTGAATCATCCTGAGCTGAGGCTTCTGCTAAACCTGGACAAGTAGCCCACCAATGAAACAACAAAAAAGGGAGAAGACGCCATGAGCAGCAACATATACAGCGGCACGTGGTTCAACCAAAAATCTAATTTATACAGTTTTCCCCTTGTAGTCAATCATCTAAGACACGTCAGGTGTCCATAGTGTGCTTCTTCAGCTTTGCACTAAGTCTATACCTAAATCATCACCCTTTTGTTTCCATAAACTGCAATGTCTCAAGCAGACTTACTGCAAAACTAAAGAAGCGATGGTCAGTCTTCTCAGACCTGTTTGGCATCTGAGACTGCTACATAGCAACTCACAGAGAGCAGCTTGCTGACTGTTGGTTAATAAACAATGCTGCTTGCATACCATTGGTAATCATGAGATATCCTGTTGTACAGCTTGAACAAAAATGGTCAAAATGCATCCAAAAAAAAAAAAAAAAATTTCTGTGAAGTGGGTCTTGCTAAAATGGCATTCTGAGCAGAGTATAATCTATAAATCTAAAAAAGCTGTATGCCAGAATTTCAGTGAAGTGCTGTAGAACTTTAACACCTGCTAACAGTACTGACAGCAATCATTTGATTCACAATATTAAGCTTAATGGCCTTGTAACAATACTGACCCGAGTCTAGTGGGGGCTGAGGAGTGGTGTGAATGTTTTTGTCAAAGGTGACAGCTGCTCTCTTGCTACGATGGTCTGTGCTGTTGGGATGCCTGTGGCCCGACTGGACAATATTCCCACGAGACGTGATCTCATAGTGCAGGGTGAAGTTGCAGGGGCAAGTGGACTTCAGCATGATCTCTGCTTCCTGCCCAATCTACAGTAACATTTTGGTCATAAAATCAGAGAAAAAGCAAAAATCAGTAATGCTAAATTCACATATAATACTGAACCTTTCATAAACATTAAAATCTGCAGTGCTAATTTCTAGCAAGTCTCTCCTTAATCTGTCCACAGGCCCACCAATGTAAGACATATATGTTTTATGTAAAAACAGTATGTAGGAAAACAGCTGTATATAACATATTGCTCATAAAGTTTAGGGATATGATTGACAATGGCTTTGTGAAAAGGTCTTACTATGAGTGGAGCAACAGGGCTCTGGAGCTGAATGTGACATTTGCTCGGAGAGTACCAGCTGCTAATAGACAGATAGCTGGGCAGATACTGGTCCCCTGCTGGTTTTCCATCAATGGCTACCACTTTCGTCTTCAAGCAATGAAGGGAGAAACCGTTAAGGGTTAGACAATGTGGCAAAGACATGAAGGATATTCACCATCATAGGAACCTGAAAACATTGTTGCTTTGCGCCATTCTTCAGGAAATCCAAAGGAAAACATACTCCATTTAGCGTCTTTACTTCTAAAAATGTGTGCCATCTTTGTTTGGAATAAAACTGTGATACAGCATGTTTTTCCAATATACAAAATTTTGTAAATTTTCAATATACTAAACTTCTATCAGTGATAGAAGATGACAAGCTTGCCAGGTTCCAGGCCAAATTCTGAACACAGCTGCAGGAGATCCCTCAGTCTCTGGCCAGCATGACCCTCCCACTGACCTCTAGCCAGACGTACTGGGCAGCAGTGGGGATGGAAGGGATCTCGAAAGCTGCCTCGCCATTCTGCGAAGTCAGCTCACTGGTGTAGACGTTGTCCTTTGGGGTGAGTTCTGCCTTCACACGGACGTGGACACCATCCGCAGGGCTCCCGTCCGGAAACAATACCTCAATCTGGGAGCATATAACAAAAAAAAAGATTGCATGTTTTAATGCTAAATTTTAAAAATGCAGAGTGTGGGACCATTTACAATGAAGAAAACTGCGTATCTGCAAGCTCATGACTGAAAGGAAAATAGTATTAGATACATTTACAAGTTGAAAAGAGCATCACACCTTCCCCTTGTAAGGCAAACCAGGCTTGAACTGCTTGCGTGTGTCCTTGGAGTACTTGATGTCGATGAGCTGCTTGTGGACTGGTGTGGAATCATCGAACATGGTCTGCCGGCCCCCGTCCACACTACTCACTGACACCCACATGTTTACTGTGCCCCGGAAGTGATCAGTGACATCCAGAGGCATCATATCCTTCACACAGAGACTGAAGGTGGCTGACCCTTTGATCTAGAGGGAAAGAGCAAGAGCTAAAGTAATGTTTACATACTTCAAATTATTTACTTGCATCTCTAAACAATGCTTTTTTATTGCTTTTTAAACACTGTTCAGAGTGTGTGAACCTAAATCAGATCTACACTGAAAAATTCAATGCAATTTTTATTTAAATTGTACATAGTTTTAACAGGAATAAAATATATTACATCATAATCACTTCCAAAAGCAGAAAATCTTAAAGACAAAATAATGCTGATGTTACACAGCTAATTCATGTAAAAATTATATACACATTTAAATCAAGTAAATCCAATGCATTACCATTTTCACTGCATGTTCAAAACGCTGCTTATTAAGGCTTCAGCTTACTTAACAAAACTTTGTCTGGTTCTTATTTTTACAACCCTTCAGGAATAATCTGTACATGCAATCCAGATAAAATTTATTTTTCCATTTCTTCACTTACCTCCATTGTCTTCACCACAGGATGACCCACTTCATGTCTGTAGTATCCAACCCCGTTTACTGTCATGTTCACTGTTAACTTGCCTGTCACAGGCTTCCCAAACGTATACCTAACGAAGAAGTGTTTGTAAACATGATATTCTAAATGGGTTATCTATTAATGTAACGTATTCATCATGTTCTCACCTGGCCTTTACAGTGGCCTGTTCACATCTGTTGAGATCTCGTATGTATGGCGGGGGTTCCAAAATCAGCTCAAACCTGGGTGTGACTGTTTGAGGCAGATGAAAAAAGAAGAAGAGTGGAAAGAAAAGAGTGATTTAAGCATTAGCACAATTCTAATCATAAAAATATGACATATCGACAGCAGTAAGAGCTCAAAGCCTCCATCTTAAAGACCAACACATTACAAAACTTCTACCCTTGATAGAACTTACCATACTTCTGAACTTCAAAAGACTTGTTGTAGGTGTGGCCTTGTACCTCGACGAAAACAAGCCACTCACCAAAGACTGGTTGGTCTGATAGCGGGAAACTCATATTAACAATCCCTGAGGACAGACAAAAAAGCAAGGGTCAACCGACTCTTTACTGTAACTACTGATGAACTGACTAAATACTGAAGCCGTATTACATATAACATGCATTACTTTCAAACTTTAAATGTATACCTTGTGGCGTAAGTGACCCACTACCATTTGCCCACTTACTTCATTATCTATTTTCTTCAGATAATTTACAAACATCAAAATATTACAAACATGTATTAGTCTATTACTTCATTTTTGTCAGCAAAATGTTTTGTCAATTTTACAATATCATGGCTGTAAAAGTTCAATATATGTTAAGATAAAAGTGCTGGGTCACTAATAACAGGAGAAATGTACAAATGGAGGATAAAACACCTATGCATTTAAGGGCCCATATCAGAGAAATTGAATTTTCCTCATTTTTAAATAAAAGACATTAATGTAGTTGAAAATGAAATGGAGGCTGACAAAACAGCCTGTTTTATTTTAATGAATTTTTAAAATAACAAATTATTTTTGTGACGTTACAAAAACCAGTGCAAATACATCTGCCTATTGAGCCTACAGCAGGTTAGCTCTGCTCATTCACACTTAAGTTATAATGAATGTTCCAGCCTGGACTGCTTATAATAAGACACACACAGCAGCCAATCAGAACAGTGGTCACTTACATACACTCACCAAACACTTTTATCATTTTATTTTACTATTAGGAACACCTGAACACCTACTTATTCATGCAATATGTAATCAGTCAATATATAGTGCAGTGCATAAAATCATGCAGATACGGGTCACATCAACACCATCAAAATGGGGAAAAAAATGTGACCTCAGTAATTTTGACTGTTGCATTATTGTTGTTGCCAGACAGGCTGGTCTGAGTATTAACTGCTGATCTCTCTGGATTTTCATGCACAACAGTATTTAGAGTTTACTCAGAATGGTGCAATAAAAAAAAACATCCAGTGAGCGGCAGTTCTGTGGACAGGAACTCCTTGTTAATAAGACAGGTCAACGGAGAATGGCCAGACTAGTCAGGGCTGACAGAAAGGCTACAGTAACTGAGGTAACCACTCTGTACAACTGGGGTGAGCAGAAAGGTATCTCAGAATTCACAACACATTGAAACTTGAGGCAAAGGCTACAACAGCAGAAGACCACATCAGGTTCCACAGCCAAGAACAGAAAGCTGAGACTTCAATGGGCATAGGCTCACCAAAACTGGACACTGGACACAGACTGGAAAAACATAGCCCGGTCTGATGAATCTTGATTTCTGCTGAGGCACACACGGTAGGGCCATTATTTTGAGCCAACAACCTGAATCCATGGACTCAACCTGCCTTGTGTCAACAGTCCAGGCTGGTGGAGATGGTGCAATGGTGTAGGGAATGTTTTCCTGGCACACTTTGGGCCTGTTAATACCAATCAATCACTGATACAATGCCACAGCCTATAAGAGTATTATTGCTGACCATCTGCAACGTTTGACGGCCACAATTTAGCATCTACTAATGGCTACTTCCAGCATGATAATGCACCATATCACAAAGCAAGAGTTGTCTCAAGTAGATTTCATGAAAATGACAATGAGTTCAGTGTTAGAATATGGGTCAATTAAATGTCACTGTAGTGGTATGATTATAAGTAGAACAGACTTATCTAAAGGATGGTGTGTCTTACCACAACAAATGGGCTTGAGATCTTTCCACTGGACCATGCGAGATCCTCTTGGGTCCTGGGTAAATACATATGTATTGCTAAAACCATCTAGTAAAAAAACTTCTCCGTTATTAGTTTGTCTAAAACTAGAGGCCACTTTACACATCTAAAAAGGTTGCTGAAAATCAGAGTTAAATAAACTAACTCCAACTCCTGTGTTGCCTTAAACAAACTAACCTTACCCCATTCAAAGGTCGGAGACAGTGGGAGCTGTCAGTCATAGCTAAACTACACAGACCCCCTGACTGCCACTTCCCCAAAGGCCGGCCGGCTGCAGCGGCAGACTTACACAAACTTTGTATACTTAGCAAACATTTATCTGCTGTGCCCTCCAACCCCCCATCCTCCCCCCTAGCCGTTTACACAGCTTCCAGAGGAATGTTCTAGAGGCAGGCGGCCGCATTTGGGTGCAGAGAGGCTTCAAAGGCTGGACAGCATGAGGGATGGAAGTGACATCTAAGTCTGGAGTGGCAGAAGGCGGCGGCCTGGGCAAAGCCACCTCTCTTTCATCTTGCCCCATTGCCTATGTGTGCCTACGTCAGGGTCAGACTATGAACTGCAGGCCTGTTATCAAAAGGCACAGCCCTGTAATCTTGGGCCTGCTGGGAAAAGAAAGCCCAAAAGCGCCTTGTGCCACCAGGGTGGTCCCAGCCGCATGACGTCCACTCACCACAACGTAAGCTTCAATCTGTGAATAAAGAAAAACAGTGGCACATGTTTGAGTAAGTGCATAACTACAAGGCAAAAGGTGCCCTCTCACCCCCCTCCCCTCCAGCTTCAACAATCTGGCATCTGTGTGAAGCAGTGCAGGCCTTTGGCACTAGCTGACTCTTGAGGCTTTGGTCGTGAATGAGGGCACTATCTACCCTGAAACGTGCTTGGTTTGGAGACGCTTCAGGAAAAAGGTGTTGACTCCACGCTGTCGGCAGTAAATAATATAATTGCGCTGTTTTTGTGTAGCTGCATGCATTTATATGCGCCAAACACAGAAAGAGCACTACTAAAGTATTGTGCTTTTTCTGTCCTGAATAACCCTTACAATTCACATTTATCTCAGTAATTCCCAGTAGGTAATGTTAATTGTATATTGTCCAACTACTGAAAGAAACATCTTCATGCAAGTTACTATTGGTACTCATTTTTATGTTAGGTACCAAAGACGTGGGTAGAAAATCACTGTACCTTGTCATTAGCAGGTCTCAGGTCTGGCGTGATGGAATACACATTGATGAGCACTAACACAGAGAGGACAAACAACAAGAAAAGAAACCCATTCACACCTCCATTCTACCTCAATGGCAACATGCAGCACCGGACATTCACAATACATCGATTATCGTGCCAAGTCACAAATGTTGATTTTGATAGACATGTGTAATGTCTGAAATTTACTTCTTTAGTTTTAAACAGGAGCTATGTGGCTAAAGTAGCTAAAAATTTAACAAAACTACAGAGAAAATTTAGGCTTCAAAGTTTCTGCTACTACTTTTAGTTATATGACTGACTTTTTGTCCATTTTTATAGATAACAGTGTGTCAGAAACCACGTAAGTCTAATGAAACTGTTTCATTATAAAAAGAATGTAACTCTTGTTTAACTGGATTTAGTGCAACACAGTGTGCAAAACATTGAATTAAAAACTACGGTATTCACAGTTTTTGATAGATTTTTTTAAATGTAGTACTACTGATTCTTTGTTCTCTGTTCTAAGTGATAAGGTTTCATTTATAGTGAAAATTTCTTGAAGTATCGCAATACTATATTTATGCCATATCGCCACCTCTAGTCTTACATGTTAGCTATATTAGCTCTGTATTTCCAGTAGGAAACCAATAGAAATTTGTAAATTAGATAGTAATTAATTGTACATTAGATTTTTCACTGAATTATCATTTTAATAATAACTACCACAGCTAAGAATATTATCCAACGCAGTCAGGGTGAGGACAGAGACCTTTGTGCTGTGGTTTGTAGATGGGCTTGTCGGTCTGAATGAAGATTGCTGTGCCTTTGCTGTCAATGGTCACTGTAGTGTGGTTGTGGAAGATGTAGCCGCCCTCAGTGAGGTGTCGGTTCCCCCACACCTTGAGAACAGCCTGGCCCCGTAAGTCTGATGGCACCTGAGCAAATCACAACAGTGGCTGCGCTAAGCAACTACAAGCAAACACATTGCAACTGTTGCACTGAGGTCAAACATTTGGGTGCTTTAACCTAGCATGTGTGTCAGGGACGCAACATACTGGCATCACAACCTGTTTCTACTTAATATCATTGGCATGACTGTCTTTGCAAAAATAAACAAGTAACAGTGACTTCTGGACTTACCTTCAGTTTAAGAGTGCCTTTATCTGGAAAAAAGAAAACATTTTAGTCCATTGTAAGATATGGTATATGACAGAGAGCAGCACTGAATTAATGGAATCTACTGCTTAACAAAGCATTTGCATTACTGCCTAAAATGCAATAAATAACAGCAGAGAATGTGCCATGTTTTGTCATCAGGTAGCATATCAGTGTCAGTCTTAATAAGCTATACAGGGGATATTATGCAACATTGTTGTTCAGTTATCTTAGATTTAACATGTGAAACTGTGCAAGTAAGCACAGTAAGCACACTACTTGTAGCATGAGGTCAATGATCAAACTGCATGTGCAGGTTTAATAGCTAGTTAACAGGACCAAGCTACAAGGCACCACATGAACCCTTAGTACTGATTTGAGGGTAGTATACCTTTTCTCTGTTGATGGCTAGGGCAGAATTTAGACTGATAATGCTGATGCTGGCCATAGCCAGTCTAGCAGAGTACTTACCTAGGACTGTGCCATGACTGTGTGCCACTGTCTCGCCCTTAACGCTTAGCTGCACCTGTACCCGTGTCTCCTCCACAGTGTTAAAGAGGGTGACACTCACTGCCTCCTCCACTCCAGCACGAAAAACTGATGGAGCGGCAATCAGGTAGCCCCTGTGCATCATGGGACACACACTTTAATGATGTGCATATGAACTACAAGGAATGCACACACATGGGAACTCATGGTCCTTCTTTTCTACTTTCCCTCTCACTATAACAAAAACACACAACATATTTGTCAGGTTAAAGTCGACATTCTCAAAAGACTATAAAGCTAGCTTAAATATTAGTGTAGCTTAATGGAAAGGCTATAATTTTACTGCCATGTCTTTGTTGTTGTTTTTCCAAAGACTCACAGCTTTGAAGGCTGCTGTTACAGAGGTCAAAAGTCATAGGTCACAAAACCATCTGAAAACATGAAGTCATGTTGCGAGAGACAAACTTGCTGCAAACAGATCAAATCTCCCTTGCTTTACACTTTTTTTTACTGTTTTCACTGACTTTTTACCTATTACAGATTTTCCACAAAATTAAACACTTTTTGTTCAGCTACACTTATTCTTTCCAATGTTCTAAACAAACATCAAAACCCCTGACAAGATTACTACATTGTACCAATTTAGCCTCACATTCTTTTTCTGGTTACACCCTGCTGACCCCTACAATTCAATGCCTTTGGAAAAGCAGCAATGATGGATACTTGAAGAATATTGTGTTTGATACATTCTTACAGCTAAAAACAACTGCAGGAATGCATACAAGTATATGGGCATAGGTCAGAGCACTCCTCATGATTATGCACTAATAATAACATAATAACTCATTAATGCTTCCCTGTGTGTTCAAAAGTTCAATCCAATAGAAAGACCACTACCATTAAATAAGGGACATTCTGTAGACATTTAAAAGTAAAGACAAAAAGTTCTGTAAGTACTCGACTGTTCACATGACTTTTAGGGCATTAGTGTGGTGTGTCTGTTTGTCTGCTATCAGAAGGTTGGCAATACTGTGCAGCGGGTTGTGACCCACAGGCAATTTACATCTTAAGCAAAGAGAATATTCCCCTGCAGCTTCAAGCTAGGAAACAGCATTTATCTGCATTTCTCTTCCCATTCTTTTAATCAGTTTACTTCAAAAAATTGAAAGTATATCCAATTTGCTGTCTAAGGGTTTTGGGGAGTGTACTGGGATCTTTGCTCAGGGGACAAGCTGTTACTGGACCCTCTTACTCCAGTATGTATTTACACATGGATGCAACTTCAAGGTTTCACCAAACCTTTCATACTGACTAACCACTAACATCTCCACTGAAGTCAAGTGAAAACTCCAGTATTGTAGACTTTGGTTGGTATGGGCACATCAGGTATTAGGCCCTAAATGACAATTTCATTCTTGTTTTCAGTTTTCTGCTAAAATTCCTTTTGTAATTTAGTTACCCTTTTAGTAATAGTTTCTTTTGCTTATTTATAACATACTCTGGTAAGAAACAGTTGAAACAGGAATAAACAAGAGTTTCTTCTATGAGACTGTCTTGTATGAGAGTGTCTTCTAACAAGAGTGTCTCCTATCAGCTGAATAAACCCTAGGTAAAGGGTTAGTCGTGCTCCACAGAACTGCAGCAAGTTTACTGTTATGTCATTATCTAAATCTAATTTCTCAACAAATTTTAAAGTACCCATCTAGACCTTATTTGACAAGAGTATAAGGCACCAGAAAAAAACAGGTTATTGCGGAAAGCCCTAGGAGGCAGATCAGAATGTGATGCAATGACAGTTAGCCCACATTAACAACCACAAGGCTGCCAGTCTGGGTCAATCACAGCACTGAGGAATTAGCACAGTCTGAGAAGCTGTTGCTCAAACACTGAGGAGAAAATGAAGCTTGGAGAACTTGGGAGTTAAAGAGGATTGTTTATAAAATTACCAAATTATTGTCTGCCAAACTCCAACCTTTGTAGTGCTCTATTTTTAGCACCTGATAAAATCAGAACTAAGAGATGGATGGTCATAATGCCTTTCCCTGAAGAGCTACTGTATGGGTTTTAACATTATAATGCTATGGGTTAGTTTTTGAGTCCAAAATCAATCAGAAATCTAAACTGATAGAGACTTTCAATGTTCAGTCACAGGAAGCAATAATTTTGTGCAAGATTTAATCAATCTCCAGGTAACCTTGTTAGCTCTTTGATAATGGGTGATCTGCAGCATAGGTTGGTCAGGTAGCGTTAAACCACACTCAAGGAAAAGTCTTGTTATTGCAGTCAAAAAAACATTACTCAAGGGAAAGTAAAAGCAACAAGAAACAGCTTCAGGGCAAAAACCTCCCTAGAGAACTGCAGTGGAACTTCCTAGTACATGCAGCATCTATCAGCACAGGAACTTAAGATTGCTCTTTTCCCCTTTTTGTGATCCTTTTGGCCTAAAATAAAACGCTGAAGCTCAAAAGTGAGAGGTGTGAGCAACAGTAAAAGAATTCAAGTGCTGTCACCAACAATGCACAATAAATTGTACTCTAAAAAGGGAACTAAAATGGATTAGAGAATAAAATGTTGATGCGTAAAATGGGACTGAGTAAAGTATTCCCTGCATCACAAACATACTGGAATAAATCTACAAGAGTCCTATAATCATCTGAAAAACAAAACTTAATTAAGATAGGTACAAAACTGAGATAAAGTGAAAACCTAACTGGTCCTATTTCCAAAGCAGCAAGAGAGCTGACACAAGCTAGCTTAACTCATGGAGATAAAGTATTGGGTCAATGGCAAATATTAATTAAAGGGCAGTAGTTGAAGGTCATGAGCTGAACACTGTCACACAAACTTACTGTCGTTCCTGTGAAGTGATTCCCCCAAAAACACATAGGAGAATAAACCATGACAGAGTCCACGACCTTTGGTACAAATGAATCATTCTCGCTCCGTCTTCAGACCGTCTTGTGCTGTGTTTACAAACTGCCTTATCAGATCCACCAAAAACCTTTTATTCCTTGTGAATGAATTCCTCAGTCAGAAGTTCGCCATTGATGGAAACATTGGGGCTCGTTCGCCGCCGTTCGTTCCCGGTTCAGCGAGGGGAGAGGGAGGCTTTTATCTCCCTTTGCGAAATCCCATTCCGTGCAACCCAATTTTTTCTCTCTCTCTCTTTCTCTCTTGGGGGCTAACTTCTCTCCTCACGCAGAGACACGACTTCTTGGCGTGCCTTGTTCATCCGCCTTAGTTCCGTTTGCTCATATTTCAGCATTAGCGATGATTACCGACCACCTCCGCCCCTGAAATATTCGTTAATGCCGATCGGTTTGGAGCCAGTGAGTGAGTTCCTCCAGCAGCAGTGCGGTCAGTCTGCGCCTTAAAACTGCAGCCCTTCGCTCGCTCTCCCGTTTGACCACTCCGAGCTTCTTTTTTGGTCTCAGTCAGTGCTCGCGCCAGAAAAAGAATCGAGTCGCGTGCGCTCGTGCTGCACTGGAGCTTTTTAACAGGGAGGCTAAGCACGATGCTTGAACTTCTGAAAGTCTGCAGATTGAGTTCGTCTACACGATCTGACACGAAAATGGGGACAGGCTTTTATTGTCTGTTTTCTGATCGTTAGTCTGAGTACAGCAGTGTCTGAGTGTCTGGGGATAAACGTGCAGAAGATCCTCAATTAACTGGCCTGCAGTTCTAATGCGCCTAAATGAAGCAGCACTGTTACTGTATTTGGGTGAGAATCTGGAATCCTGCTCGCGAAACCACGAGCCCGAAAGTCTCGGCTTTGGACGGCACACTGACTCCCCCTAGTGGCGTTTTTTCACAATACAGTTTTGTCAGAAGGTTCTTACATAGAGAAAGTGTTAACACATTTAAGAACCTAAATTGCCTGAAGTCTCCTGCGCTTGTATTTCCGTTCTGGCTACAGGTACTTTCTGTGTGGGACAGAAAAGGGCGAGACAGATGTTACAGAGCAGAAACGTCTAAAAAATAAATATAAAAATACTTAGCTAATTTTTTTGGCAGATGGTGATTAGACTTCTTGCCCCTGAAACAAACTACCCACAGAACAGCACAGAATACTGTTTGTATACCTTCATGATAAAACTTATAAATGCGAAGAGGATTTACAAGTACAGTTGCATGCAAGTTTGAATACATGTTTTGTTGATTTTTTAAGTGAAAATAAATTAACACATCCTCTATAGTGAACTTAAAAGTGTAATTTTTCTTCTTCAAATCTTTATGCACAATTTCTATTTATTTGCTGAGTTTAACATACTGGAAAAAAACTAAAATATGAAATGTGCCATGATAGGTCACATTTTATATTGTATTTTTTTTCACAATATGTTAAATTCAGCAAATAATTACATATTAATATGTGTTGACGTGTGCTCTCTGCAGAGGATGTGTTAACTTACTTTCACTTAGAAAATAAAAAAAACATGCCATTTAACCAGAGATGCCCAAAACTTTTGCATACATATAGCTTTATATACGTATACATAGGTAGTGGAACAGAGATGCTTAGAAACACGTGTGCTCTTTACTTACTTTTATTACTTTAATGCATGGTGGCCACATGCGTGGACAGTCCCGTTATATTTAGGAGCATTCGTTTTTATTTCATGCAGTTCTGAGTAATAATAGACACGTTTAAAAAAATCTGGACAAATATGCTCATTCTTTAATATTTTCTGCATACAAGGCTTAAACGCACAGGCGAGACACACAGTCTGCTACAGTACAAAACGTCAATCATAAGAATAAAAGCCCATCTTAACTCGTCGAGTGAATAAAAACTCAGTGAATGACACTATAGTTGTGTTTGTGTTAGATTCAGCGCAGTACAGCGATATCTGAAAGGCTGTCACGTGCGCGTGACGTCATCGGACGTAGTGGAGTTTTTTCAGGGAAGGTAAACAGGAAGTAGCGTTAGCAGGAGGTCGAAAGTAAAAGACTACTAGAGAGAAGCAGCAGCGTTGCTACAGCATGGTGAGTTCATGTGATAATGAAATGTGATGTATGGAAGGAACTGCTTTTTTAATCATAGCTGTAAGATACAGTTGCTCTTACGTACAAGCTGTAGTGTTTAATGAATTAGCTGCTGCTGGTTAGATTGCCTTTTTAGCTCTTTAGCTTTTCACGGCCTCTTCATTCTGATTATGATAGCGTTACATTATAATTTAATGAATGCCGTCATTTTTTGTCAGTCCCCCTCAGATTTCAGAAGTTTGGTACGACGATTTTACGCACTGCAGGCTGAACGCGTGGAGGCATACAAGCTTTTTGAAGAGTAAGTGTTACTGCTTTGTGACCACGTTCAACTAATGTTATAATTCTATATATTGTACGTTTTCTAGATCAATGTTGCCTAATTTCTGTCAAAATGTCCTATCTGAGCGGATATTTATAAGTAGCTCCATGCATTAAAAAAATGAAGGTAGAATTTTTTGATTGCCTAAATCAGCTTGGCAGAAAATGCTACAAGCTGAAGTAACATTAAATCCACAATAAGATGTTTGAAAACTTTACTACCCTAAGTTACTACGCTATACTAATGATATGCGCATGCTCAGTAGGACAAACTGTTAAAAAAGGTCCTTTAGTTCAGGGTTCTCGACCCTGGTCCTGGAGGTCCATTGCCCTACACTTTTTACCTGCAGTTGACAGCTAGGCTGGTTCTAAGGATTCCTGATGAGCGGAATCATGTAGCAGGAAAACATGGACATGTGCAGCGCATATGAACTAAAGGACAGCCCACTGTCCTGCACATTTAGAGCTTTTCCTTTTCCAGGTTATCTGGTTATAAGCCACGACAGAGACTAACGTCAGTCTCTGCTACGTGGTAAAACGCGTTTAAACATTTATTTACTTAACATGCTTAATGCTTGAATACTGATACTATAGCTAACTGTTACTGTTTTAGAAGCACAGAATCCGGAAGTGCAGACTATGTTTCTCAGTTGTCATTTCTAAAATATTTTTTTCCAGTCAGAGATACCATGTAGCTAATGTTAGCTAGCATGATTGATGTAAACTTAGTAGCAGTGGGACATTGCAAATAAACTTAAGGTAGCTAGCTAGCAAGTTAGCTGTATTAGCTTTTAGCAAAACAGAAAAGGTTATAAAATAACATAACTTACCATTCATATTATGGGTTCACTTGATATGACATGACTGTTTCAGACGCCTAAAGAAAAAAATTAAGGTTAATCTTATTGCACTCAACGTTAATCTGCCTTATTAAGAACTGAGTTATGCTAGCTAGCTAGCCAGTACAGCGGGCTAGCGTTAAAACTAAAGTTGGCGTAACAGTTTTGAGGCGATACAAGATTAAAGTGTGAGTAGATTATGAAATTACTCAAACGGTAACTTTATACACTATAATAAGTATATTATTATGTCTTAAGAATATTTTTTTCTCACCTCCAGTGTTTCACATAAACGCTGGATCCGTTGAGTTTCCGTTGAATTTTAAATATTTAAAATGACCGTTGGCTCGGGCTCGCGCTGACCCGTTGAGTTTTCCGCGGGATTTTTGATTTTAACCCATTTATGTCCAGCAGCAACCAAATGTGGTATGAAGAAAAATAGTAAAAATAGTATGAAGAATGCGAGTCTGATCTAACGTGATGTAATTTTGTATAATTATACCTTATGTAAACGTCAAACTGTCATCTTTTTTATATTAATTTTATATTTATACTGCATAGTAAATACAGATTCTATAGCGTTGTCAAAAGTTTGTTACAAGAGTCTAGATTTAATATGATATGTGAGTAAAACTTACTTTTGTTGCAATATGGATTGATTGGTTTAAAAAAGGAAAACTTTTAAAAAGGATTTACTCTCTTGCAAACTCATGGGACATATGGACTAAAGGAAGTGCAACATTTCAGATATGTACGTTAAAGAATATGCTGTGCAGACAGACTGTAGCAGGGAAGAGCCTTAAAAATATTGCTGAGGAAATACATTTTGGTATGAGAATATAATATATTATTCTGACCGTTATTGCATCAATAGCCACACATCCAGCACATCAATGAGTGCAAGAAAGAGCCATACTGGCCACTCTGGCTCTCTGTTGGTCCTGATCAAGCATGCTAGCTGGGTTTGTCTGGCTGATTACACTGACTCCTAACAGGAAAGTTCAATATTGAAGAGACTCTTCCGCTGTAGAGACTTCACTACAGGGTCTCCATTTCATTGGTTAGATGGAAAAAAAAAATGTATTTTTTCTTAAATAAAAGACTTTTGAAACACAAGGCATCAAGTTTGAGGTGTAAGTATGTTATTCAGTAGTAGCAGTAGCAATGCAGACCTATCAATTGGATCCAAAGGTGCTAAATCTCTTATTGTTCCATGTTTAACTGAAAATTTTGAAGCGTCAATGAAATGAACATGAACCTATGCAGTGCAGCTGGGAAAACCAGGACTGAGAAACACTGCAATAGACTATTACTGTTGGCCTGTATAGAGTAATATTGTTGCCTTGTTTCACAGGGGTCATGAGGCATACTTGAGGACAGGGCCCCACTACGACTTTGACCATTACAGACAGCTGGTCCATGAGATAACCAAGGCATTCTGTGGTATCTCCAAAGAGGTGCTGGAGATTAAAGAGCGCCTCCACCAAGACTTTGACCGCCCGGATCTCTCTGAACACATTGAGAAGCTGCAGATCAAGGAGAAGCAGAAACTGGAACTGGTGTGTACTTGGTGTTTGTCATCATTCTTTTATGCAGCTCTCTGTAATGTCTGTTTGAGTCATGTTAGAGTCAGTAAGTCCACACAGAAATATAGTGCATTCCTAAATGGAAAATAATTTTTCACTGGATAATCTTGGTTTAGTCCAGGACTGCTTAACCCATGTGTGAGAAATTGTTTGTAGTAAGAGATTTCACACACTTCAGCAATAATGACAACTTTCGTTCCACGAGATAAGATACATCTTCAAATGACTTTCATCACAGAAAATCATTCCATCTGATGGACAAAAAAGAGCTACATGCAGTAAAATTGTTGTCTAAAAGAAAGAGGCAAAGCAACTAAAAATGGATGGCTATAGCATGTAGTTTGGATAGCAAGTGTGCTAGCTAGCACAGTAGCTAATTTAGCTGAAGGGTTAGTACAGATCACATTCCTTTAAAACTTAATGTACATCAGTTAGTTCCAATGACACTGGTTGAGAAGCGTTCTTCACACGCTGAAACAACTAAACAACCTGGAATTCATCAGAGTTAAACAGAATACAATTAAGCAAGCAAGATGGGTTCCGAAATGCTTTCAGGTTAATCTGGAAAGTGCTAAAAAAGCTATTCTAAACCTGATGTTGTGACAGTTTTATGGCTCTGTTCGTAACACAGAAGGCTACTATTTTTTTTGGCGGAGGAAATAGCAAATATCGTTTGGGGTTTTTTTGCATTGTATTTTTCTCTATTTTGCTGAACTGTTGTATAAAAGCGTTAAAGCATTTAAACTTGTGTGTTATCCCAAATCACAACTGTGTTATTCACAATAACGCATTTCCTCTTGTGTTACTTCAGCTGAATTAGCTCTGGCGCTAGTTGCGTTACAAACTAAAGACTAACCGTTTCAAATAGTTTTGCTTCTTTCCTTGAAACATGGCTTTTACTGTTTGTAGCACTTTAGTTCTGTTTTTCAGAAGGTTTTGCTCCAATGAAAGGCTCCTTATTTGAAGCCGTATCAAACCTGACAATTTTTTAATAGGGTTTACTTTTGTACAGTGCATTGCCTGCAGCTAATAACAAGAATAAATTAAAGTTACTAACTCTACTACTAAAGACTTGAGACTGGACTCGCATGACGCACTTGATTTGGAGTAAAGTCACAAAGTAGACACCAAAGCAGAAGTACATAGTACAGGAATCTGTACTTTGATTAGTACTTAGTCAAGAACATGCACTACGATAATGTATTCTTTGAGAAATAAATACTTAAAAACAGATGTTCTTCAGTTATCCCTCTAATAATAAACTATATGTCCAAAAAAGACACCTGCTTATCCAACATTTCTTCCGCAATGTAGGGTATTAATGGTAGGAATGCACTGATTGTGATTTTATGTCTGAATCTAATTCAAATTTCTTTACAGCCCAATTGGCTGATGAATGATTTTTGTTAGTTTGTAGCCCAAAGCTCATGCTGTGTAGGCTAAATAAACACTCTTGTACATTTCAATACTTTCTTTAAGCCAGAGGCAAAACACAAATTAGTTATTCTTTAATGAAACAAACTCTGTAAACAAAAAAGCAGTTGCATAATTAAATAACATTCATCTGATGAACTGCTGAATCGAAAGTAAGAGGCACAATGAATCATACATAATTATGCTATGACATTTACATATAATTGTAGCAGTAACAGTGACTTGAATACACTTACCTGAGTTGTGTGATTTCCGTCAAAAAATTACAACACAAATCAGCCAGACTAAAAAGAATAAATTGGCCAATTGTCGATCACATGTTCTGAGCAGAAATCTGTTTCCGCTGGACATGTCGGAACATTTTTGGGTGCATTCAGTCACAAGAGCATTGGTGAGTTCACAGAGCATTACTGATGTTTGATGATTAGTTCTGTATCTCCAATGCCACTCCAACACATCATAAAGGTATTTGTCATTGGCTATGGTGACCTTAGTTTCATGTGTGGCTGCTCTTAGTCTATTGGCAAACATTTCCCATGGACAGTATAGAAGTATACATTATGCTTTGTGCTTGATCAGTATACAGACAGAACATTTTTGGATGCATTCAGTCACAACAGCATTGGCAAATTCAGAGAGCATTACTGATGTTCGATGATTAGTTCTATATTCACACACATACCAAAGGTATTCTATGACGATGCTCGTCATTGGCCACGGTGACCTGGCTGCTTTCATTCTATTGGCAAAGCTTTTCCATGGACAGTATACAAGTCATGTGTGGAAATATCGTGTATATCCCAAAAAACCTTTAGTAGTCCTTCTTTACTAAGCTATAAACGTCTGAGGGCATTTGTCTCACTAATATTTATAGCAGTCTAAAGCAATATTTCCATCTCCATTAAAGATTTCTCTCCTGCTGCTAAGATCAAGGTAAAAATGACTGTTTTTAAGTGTAGAATGCATACATGTGGTTCAGGTAGATTTCTTGTCACATATTTTAAGAGGTGCACTAAATGTCCAAGGCAGATGGGACAGGAAACATTCCATACAGAGCCTAGGAGTCACTGCAATCAGACTGCCAGTTCTTTCTTTTTTTCTTTTCCTTTTTTAAGCATATTTACATATTTGCCAGGAGACAGTTATAGGGAAGGACCTATGAATAGCTTGTTTTGACAACGAACTACGACGATAAATGTCAGTCAGGGACTTGCCTGTAGTGATTCCATTTAATTACGATCACTTATTGCATTCAGGGCATGTCCTATTGCCATCACTTAAGTATTTTTAATTGGATATTGCTGTCCCAGTTGCAGCCACAAGGGGTCAGTTAACCATCTCAGTATCAACAATAACTACATTGATTTAATGCTAGTAGTCTTTCCCTTGTCTTATTTCAGTACAGTAAATAGTGTGAAAACGCAGTAAGACACACCAAGTTGTAGGATAAACAAGAGTGTCAGACAGTATTTTGTGAAAATATGTGTCTCACAATTCCCAAAGAAGTATTTGTAATGTTTCTTGAATCATGAACATGCGGCGTCTGACATAAAGAAAATGTGGTTTGATCATTTTTATGAACTTTGACAGTGTATGATTATCAACAGTCTGATGAGCATAAATGGTCTTTCTTACAGACAGCTAAATTGCAGCTGGCCAAGCAGAGTGCTCAAGATCACCCAGATGATGAAGGCTGTCAGGAGAAGGTCCAGGAGATCAAACAGGAGTAAGAGTGGCTCTACATTATTCTTTGTGCTTGATCAATATACAGCCAGATTGATCATGCCACTGATGAAAATATGCTATAATAGGCCAACTTAAGTGGATCGTTTCATTCCTGTTCTCTCTTTCTGCTTCTTCAGTATCATAAAGAACAAGGATGCTCTGAGTGAGATTCTACAGGACTTCAAGTATGACTCAGAAGAACCAGAATGAGAGGTAGAGGATACCACCCAGCCCGATATGGATGTTCTCTTCCACAACATTGCCTTTATACAGGGAGCAGCTGAAGCTATCAATTGCTACCTGTGTGCAGTGTGCACATGTGCTGGTGATGTGGACATGTTTGGCAAGACTGTGTGTGGCTTATAAGCTCAGAAATCCTACTTTTTGCTTGTCCTTTTGGTGGTCTTGTTAAAGGAATGGTTTGGCAAAAAAATCAACTTTATACAATTTCCAAACAGCCCCAGAAGTAGCTGAGATCAGCAAAAACGTTTGGTATCCTAATTTTGCTTTTTTGTTTGAGCACTACAATTTTTTTTTCATTAAAATATCACCAGAAGTTCTCTCAGCCTGCTCAAACATATCCAGGTCTTCATTAAGGTTGTGAATACTTGTCTGTAAGGTTTAGGGCACAGTTTGATGTGAAGGTGTGTCAGATTCTGTGGGGAAGTCTTTAGAGAAATCAGAATTCAGCACAGCACCTGCTGTCTAACATGGCATGCTGGGTTCAGCTACACAGTGAAGTTTTGTTCATTTTTTGTGGTTTGCAGGAAGTCATGCTGTGTCCTAAACCATACTGATGAGCCTGCACAAACTAGTGATGAAGCGGTTAGAGTGGGTTGGTTGAGAGGTTTTGGGTACATATTTATAGAAAAGACTTGTGTATCTGTTGACCTCTAATGTTTTTAGCATCATTAGCCTTAGCACTTAAAGAAGCAAAATTTGGACACCAAACATGCCTTGGCTGATCCACTTACATCTGCGGTAAGAGGCAAAGTGTGTAAATTAGATGTGTTTGTTTTGTTTTTTTTGCTAACAGATTTCTTTAAAATACCATCACTTTTTATGAGCCATGAAATCAACTCCCATGAACAATATCATCAGTTCAGATTGTATTGAAAGAGGCTGCATAATATATATTAAATATATTGTGATTTTATACAAAAATAAAAGTGAGAAAACATGTACAAGGAATCAATGCCTGGTAGGGATGTCCATTTATATTTTTCTGATACAAATTGTGTGTCTCTGCCAGCAAATCACTGTAACCAATATTTGCTTGATGTGTCCAGGAAGAGCAGAGTATCTGCCGTTGGCTCTTGTTCAGAGGATTTTAGCAAGGCTCCATTCTAATGAGCCCAGAAGCTAGATGCTGAACAAATGATGCTCCAAGGGCAAATTCCATTTCTTTCTTTTTTTGACCTGCCTGATGCTTTCTCTCCATCTCAGGCATGTGGGTAGTGCTCCGGCTACCTCCGAGCTCTCCCCTTCTGCGACTTTGTCCTTGGAATGGTTTCTCATGCTCTCTCCTCTTTGTCTTTGTTCTTGGTTAGAGATCGCACGCAGTTGTGCAGCAGGGACACATCAACAGATCATCTCGCCACATTCTGGGCTCCATTTGCATTCTTCAAAAGAGCCTTTGGGTTTGTCAAAACAAACTATCCTAAGCACTTGAGAGTGATAAAAACCCCATAGTCACATTTGTCCGCAAACTGTTCCAGTCTTGTTTGGACTTGTGCTAAGATTTACCGCTTTGTACTACCTGAAAGGCAAGAGAAATGACATTTACAAGTAAATGTGATGACATGATCTATAGTGACTGCTCAATGTAATTGGTACCAGCTCTTCTTGAGGCATGCCACATGCAGCTTTACAGTGCTTAACGGATGTGACAACAAAAAACATTCTAAACTAATCAAGTAATCCAAGTCTTTACCAGTCTCCTGAGGAAAAAAACAAAACAACAATTACTTTGGTTCAGGGAGCATACAGAGGATATGCTGGCTGACCCAATGGTTCTTGACATTTGCAGTAGATTATGTGTTTATATATATATATATATATATATATATATATATATATATATATATATATATATATGTGTGTGTATATATATATATATATATATATATGTATGTATGTGTGTGTGTGTAAATATATAAATAAATAAAATCTTCAAAGCCGTGCATCCTTCTGGGTCGCGGGGGGAGACACATATATATTAGTCATATTTTGAGTGTACATTCTGGACTGTTAGCAAATCACTCCTGTTGTGCTGTTGTAACAAGTGCAAAAAGTGGTTTGCTGCTGTATTGTTGAAATAAACATGGGTGTCCCTGAAAAAGTGTATAGAAGGATATTGCCGCTGTCCAAAGAAAGCATGTATGGACTAATAGAAATACTTCTAAATTGCTTAGAATAAAACCTTTTTACATTAACTTACATTGAAATTAAAGAATGTTTTTGCCCTCTCCTGTAAAGTTACTATTTTGAAAATACTTGTTATTCTTTGGACAGTGACGATATGTTGCTCTAAAATATGTTCAGCATTAATGATGCTTTCACACATGGCCAGGTTACCCATTAATACCCCCTATAGCATGGCTTTCATTCTTTTTATTTTTATATACACTGGCTTTTGAACTTAACTTTACACTGGTAACAATGTGGATGATCCTTTTCATATGTGTGTGTGTGTGTATATACTTGCATATATATATATATATATATATATATATATATATACACACACACACACACACACCGATCAGGCATAACATTATGTTTCTACGCTCATTGTCCATTTTATCATCTATAGGTGCACTTTGTAGTTCTACAATTACAGACTGTAGTCCATCTGTTTCTCTGCATACTTTGTTAGCCCCCTTTTACCCTGTTCTTCAGTGGTCAGGACCCCCATGGATCCTCATAGAGGAGGTACTATTTTGGTAGTGGATCATTCTCAGCACTGCAGTAACACTGATGTGGTGGTGGTGTGTTAGTGTGTATTGCGCTGGTAGTTTTCAAACACCTCAGTGTCACTGCTGGACTGAGAATAGTCCACCAACCAAACATATCTAGCCAACAGTGTCCTGTGGACAGCATCATGTGACCACTGATGAAGGACTAGAGGAAGACCAACACAAACTGTGCAGCAGCAGATGAGCTATCGTCTCTGACTTTACAGGTGGACTGACAAGGTAGGAGTGTCCAATAGAGTGGACACAGTGTTTAAAAACTTCAGCAGCACTGCTGTGTCTGATCCACTTGTACCAGCATGTCAGTGTTACTGCAGTGTGCAAAAGTTATGGCACATTTTATATATATATATATATATATATATATAGATAGATAGATAGACAGATAGACGTGTGTATTTTTTTGTTAAACTCAGCAAATAGTGAACTATAATTTGCAGAAAAATGGCACAGTTTGTTCAGTTTGTTCCTTCTAGAGGATGTGTTTTCACAACACAACATGTAATTTGACTGTGGGTGTTGAATGTTTTGCAAATGACTGTATTGGTACCCTGGTTACTTGTGTTACTTATCAGAAGCATCAGGTTTCAGGTATGCAAACGTCATAAAGGTGGAACAGAAGTGCGAGCTGTCTTCTTACCTACCTGATTGCGAGTTTTTTGGGATTTCTGTAGCCAGGCACGCCACTGGTCATAAAGTTTGATACTGACGTTGGTGCAGCCGTAAGTGTGTTTTCGCATCCAGCCGAAAAACTGCTTTAGTTCCCGCCGCAGGGTGGTGTTCTGCTCTTCGGACTTTAGATCACATGACCCGCTCTGCAGATGCTCTACAGAAAGACATGGTATCAAGTGTTGTTATGGTTACTGAACAAAGTGTCCGAACCCAGGTTGACCCAAAGTGTACAAAAAGAGGTTATTGTAGTGATGACAATAATTACTATGGCCTATATAAAATTTTTGAGGCTACGAATTCTGATAACTGATATCGCTTGATATTTTTGTATTTAAATGTTCACAATTTTAATTTTGTACTCTTAATAGTTTTCGCAAGTGCTTTACGGACTGATGTGTTTGTCAGTTGTCAACTATGAATTTTGTAATATTATTAGATATATTAAATATCTTAAGTGTGCAAAACGACTATTCATCTCAATCAACAGATACAAAATGACTGACCACAAGCATAGACTTAACACTGTATTGCTGTAGAACAATTGCAAGTCACAGCAGTCTTCTACGTGTAGAGCAGAATTTGGTTCAGTATTTGTTTCACTAAATAACTGTAATATGGGCAAAAACCGTGGCAAACAAAAGAGCAGGGTACAGCTTCCTGTCTTAGGCCATGTGAAAGTCATGTAACCTGTCATTTCTCCAACTGATGCCAAGCTGTTTCCACTCAGTTTGAATGTGGCCACCGCTTTATTCTGAACATATTCAAAGGGCTAAATCCAGCCATTTATGAAGACTCGCAAAAAGAATTCATCAACTATTCCCTAAGGCCCATTGACATTTTGCTGGAAAGCTTTGAATACGCTGATGAGAGATCCCTATCGAGTTGCTTGACGTTTTTGTTTTGTTGTTTTGTGGGGTTACATATGGACTGAATCTAATTAGCCCATGATGTTGCAGCTTAATCCGTGGGGAGGGAAAGTTCCATTAAACTGAGGTATTTAAGCTATGAGTGTTCCTCAGTTCTCATTCAAAGCTCTGATCACCCTGTCAATGGATCTACTGAGCAATAAGTGTTCATAAAGCCAATATCATGGAAAACCAAATTTTCCTTCTTTTTTCCTTCTTTCTTTTGATAAAAAAAAGCTCTGACGTAGCATGTAAACTTTAAGGTTCAGTCCCCAGTTCATATACGTAAACTAAGCTACAAAACCAGCCTGATTTGAATTCACTGTTGTTTTGATGTATCAAAAACCAACACGTTTACATGTATCTGACTATTCATGCTAAGGTGTTGTAGAACAAGCTGCTTTTTGAACAAGTACAATCCAGGCAGCCAATAAGGACAGGAGGTCATTAACCTATATCAGTTTTAAAAGCAAAGGAACAAAAACATTATAATAATAAGGGATAAAGAAATGTTAAAAAATAATCATGTAAAAATGAACTGTTTTTGCTACATAAAACCAAAAAATAAGTGGACCTTAAAAAAATAAACGGTAGTAAATGGGTCTTTGAATATAACATGATTCTATTCCAAATCATTTTGGACAATTTCTGTTTTTTTTGATCACACAATGTAAAAGAAGGCCTTTCAAATGCTGTAAAAGAATAAAACCCATCCCATATCAGCAAATGTACAATAAAAGTACAATACGCCCAACAAGCTCACCGCTGTTGGGTGTGGAAGCAGCTGTTGGGTGGCTCCAGTCGCTCCATATCCCTGCTTTCTTTGAGCCGTAAATGCCAACGGGGTTGCAGCGCACTTGGACAAAATAGACTGTTCCAGGCTTGAGCCCTGCTAACCTGCAGGATGTCTGGTTTCCCACATCATCTACCACCTAATGGGGCACAAATGTGGAGTGACACTGGCTTAGCAAAGATGATATTACCACAATGTTCTGCAGCCACATTTTGCATACTGATTTTGTTTCCCCTACAGAAACAGCATGTACAAACTTGTAACACTACCGACTACATGCACAACAATCCCTTAAGGGCACTTGTGCTGAATTAATTTGCAGTTCAAGGCCTTTACATAAATCACCATTAACTTGACACTAAAGACTGCTATTTAAAACATTTTACAATTTCATTAGTTTTGATTAAAGGATTGCTGTGCTCTCTTACTGTCCGCATTCCTTTGGAAATGCCCTCTAATAAGCATGACTCAAGTATTTGGGAATGTCCTGGCTGTACCTTCCATTCGGCGCTGTCCTCCAGGCGGTAGCGGATCTGGTACTTGGCCTGGAAGAGGAAGTCCTTAAGAGCTGGGGGACTGGCCCAGCGAACACTCAGCTGATCGTCTAGCTCGCCCACCCGACTCACGTGCACATCAGGAGGGGGGTCAGTGGTCACTGAGACAGGAGAAATGCAGGAATAAACAAAAATATATATATTAAAAAGTGAATATCATACACATAATTTCCACATGACTACGTCAGCACAATTATTGCCCAGGAATGTTAATCTGAAATACTCAATTGTATTAATATAATTGTATTCATGTGGAAATGATGTACACATTTGAATCAAATAAATTCAATGTATGGTACAATGGAGACATGGAAACACTGAAAGAAACAAGGCTGTGTTTCAGTATAAAATAATAAAGACCCTTTGATAAAACGCTAGTAGTTGGGTGTCCAACTAATGCATCAACAGAGAGACTTACCATGACATAGAAAAACTTAAAAGAGTAACAGCTGCAAGAATTTGCAACTTACAAGTAGGGATGTATGGATGATTAAACATAACCTGTTTTTGTGCAATAACATGCAATTTTGGCTTGTTTTGGAGGTCCCTCAGTTGAACTATGCATATTTTTAATAACATTGATGGAATATATTAGTATAATGAAAATGTGTATGGTTTAGTAAACCAAGAGGGAAAGTCTTTGCAAGTGAGCAAGCAAGTTAACATTTATAAGAGTTTTTAGCATGTTTACATTGTCTCACTGCGGCGGTAGTACATGAATTTTCATTTTAAAAAAGTTGCAGTTCTTTTGATTATCTCAGCACGGCTGTCTTCATGGAAAGGTGTCGATTCTTTTCCCAGCAGGAAGTTCACATCCCTCCCCTTTTGCCCCTCATTGCTCACTAACAGCTCAACACAACATTTCGCACACAGATGCCAAGAGAGCAAAATTGGCTTTGCTGTCGCTCTGATAGGTCCTCTCTCTCGCCACCCATCACTCTGCATGATACTAGCCAGCGCAGACATCTGTTAGATAACATAACATTGGCAGTTCTCCTCCAAGCATGTTGAGCTGTCCAGTGGTGTTATGTTAGCAGCAGTTCAAAAAGATGTGGTTGCTGGCTTCACATGTCTTGGAGGAATATGTGCTAGCCTGCACCATTGCACCACTGATAGCACTGTGGGATTGAGGGAGATCTAGCTGGCAGGGGAACTAGATCTAGTTGTCTTAGAACTAGACTGATGTGTACAGTTGGGTAAAAAAAATAGTTGGGATGATTTGCATTATGCCAGCGAAATGGCCACAAGGGTGCCACAAAAGAGGCTACAAAAACACAAACAAATAAAAAAAAAAACCAAAAGAACAGCAGCATCAAAGAAAAAAAACCTACACATCTCAGTGTAAACTTAATTACAGAAATGATATTTATGACAGGGCTTTCATTTGTAATCCATATGTAACCACCATGGAACAAGCATGTCATGGGTTATGTGTTGTGTTATTATTGATCCTCCATAGGAATTTGTCATTTTGCTGCCCGGTCTGGGAGCAGTACAGTGTGTCCAGCAGAGCAGCATCGTCTGAGGCAGTGGGGAGTGCCTTGCCCAAGGGCACAACGGGGAATACTCAGGAAGTCCTGGGACTTGAACCCACACCCTTCTGGTTGCTGGCTCACCAGCAACCAAACTCAAAGGGAGGTTTTTTGGGGAAGTATTTCAGACAGCTGAAGTTCTAGTCGAGATCAAAACTCAAAAAAGCAGTAAAACTACTTCCTTAAATGACAGGCTTATTATTCAGTTATTAATTACAATACGTATTAAAGTAAATTTAAGATTTATTTATCTAGTGCTTTTTACAACAGGCATTGTCAGACAGTCTTTCAGAGATGTTTTCTTACAACAGTGGTGATGTGTCTGCCTTTACACTTTGTGCTGTTTGCTTTGGCTTCTACTTTGAAAATAATATGTAAGTTATGTACGGCCCTTAGGGTGTAAGGGGGTAAGAGAGCTAGGAGAGTATCTCCTCAGAGCATCTTCGGTCATGCTTAGTGTCTTTCACTTTCTTCTACAACATTCACACACATTAACACAGCAAAACTCCACCTTCTCTTTGTCAGTGACTCTGCGTTTGTGTATGTTCTGTTCTGTAACTGGTTTAGCAACACATGATGATAAGGTCAGTCACTATCAGTCTCCAGTGATTATTGCATGAACTGTTTTTCTGTCTGGTCACAGCTCAGAAAGACATGCTTTCACTTCAAATACGAAATGCTGTCACTGAAGCAAGCTTGCCTCCGGGCGGAAAGAAAAGTGAATTCCAAGACTTATTGTTTCCGTAATTGAGAGAATGAAGAAAGCAGAGGTTAGGGACATTCCATGCAGCCAGCATCCCCCTGCCTTCCCTCAGCATCTCCTTACCATGTTTGTGTGCCATGAAAAGAAGAGTTTTGATAAAAATTTGAAAAAGTAATTATTCCTATCTTAAGCCCTATTAAAGCTGGATTAGTTTTACCTGGGGAAGTTCTGTAATTTAAGTGATTACAGATATGTGATTTTAATCTAGTATCATTCTTCAGTGTCTGCAGTTTTTGCTTCTAAGTCTGACAGTAATAATTCTGGAGTAATTTGCTCTGTAATTCATTGAACCTGGAGCTCCCTCAGTGATAGCAGTCCACTTTGAACTGACCTCATGCAACATGCAACATGTAATGCAACAACCTGGTGATAGAGATCGCTGTGCGCTGTGTTGTTATTGTTAGTGAATGTGCTGTCTGTTACATAAAGTCTGACATAAACATCCAGGCTGAAGTTTCAATCTTAATTACACAGATACTTTATCCCATGCTGGCCTTAGGCCGATAGTTGATATGATCAAATATCGCATAAATGTAAATAATTGCCAATATTATGTAATTATAGCTGTCGTTATAATGATAGCTATATAGCTAAAGCCATGCAAACAGAACTAAAGCCTGAAATAATCATTTTAAAGCTGGGTCGTCGGGACGGATTTCGCAAGAGTTTTTCGGACCACATCAAATGGCTTCAGAAATTCACGTTAAAAAGAAGGTCTAACTCAATGTTCATGCCGCAAATGCAAAATCTACTTCATACTTAAGAAAATATGATGACAACACTAGATTATTCACTTACATCCTTGGAAGGCAGTTCTGTTTGAATGTGTGCTCCCAATCATTAAATTCATCCCCTTGGGGAAGGGGTCTGAAGTAGAGGTCTGCATTCCCACTGGACTCACCTGGATATCTTGTGGTGCAGGGCTAGTTCTGTGTCATGCACAGGAGTGGGATAACACATACGTTTAGAGAAATCCCACAAATGAATGAATAGCCTAACGCAGATGGAAACCAGCCATCTACAGGACTGCAGACGGGATAAAACATATGGTGCTGATTTTCTGTGGGAGTGTCCGGTTTAAATCTTGCGCATGCAGGACTTACAAATCAAATGTTACAAAATGTTCTTCCGCATGTTGCATGCAATTACACATTTCCACCAGAGAGGTCTCCAAATCCCCAAAACTTACATAATGAAGCTTTAAGTAGTATTAGAAGCTAACCTAGTAGGTAATTGTGTGGTAATTATTTTACCATCAGGGAAAATGCCACCCAGAGAGTAAGACTCTGTAACGCTCAAATGTGGTACTTCATAACTGAATTTGGATCATGATGATATCAGTTATCACAATAATTCTGCAGACGCTAATGATTTGCCTAAATTTACATTATTGTTCATCCTTGTCTTCTACCAACCGGCCAATCAAATCCTTCACAATCTACATTTCCTTATTCAGCTCCAGTAGTGCTTTAGATGCTTTCTGTGCTTGTGCTCTTTGTAAGGCGACCACATTTGGAATTTCAGCCCCATCACTGATGTTTTTCCTTTTCCAAACCTAATAAAAACCCACTCTCACAGACAAGTGTGTGTACCATATGCTCAAATGTTGCATAAAGGAGCTGGAGGATGAGCTCACTGTTGGGAAGTGCTGGCCAGATACTTGCAGAAAAAATCCCAGGACATTCTGCCTGTTTCGGCTTTGCTTTCGTTAGTTATTTAACAATACAATCCTGCAGCCTCAATTCACAAGACACAGGCAATGTATTCTACTTACCCACATCTAAGATATCCAAGATGATGACATCAGAGGTGGCAGAGCCGAGCTGATTGGACGCTTCCACCCAAATCTCATATGGTGTGAAAATGGCCAAATCCCGTGGGATGTAACACGTATGCGGCTGGCCCATGTTGTACTCCTCACACTCCTTCTCTTTGCCATACCATCTGCACACCAATTAAAACTTTAAAACGTCTGAATAGACTGCACAAACCTCTCAAATAATAACACATGTTAAAAGATCACAAGTCCTGTAACTTCAAGCCACCTGCTTGGCAAGTTTACGATCCACCAAGCTTCTCTCGGGCTCACAATTTAAATTTTATAGTCAGGGAGGAGCAGGTGTTTTAAATGTTAGTGCCTTTAAATGTTCTGTCTCACCGCAGTTTGTACTTGAGGACATATTTTGTACTGATGAAAGTCTCCCCATGACCACCAGGGCTCCATCTGCAGCTGAGGTCTTTGGTGTTCCGTGACCAGCAGGACAGATTAACTGGCTTTTCAGGGGGCACTGCACACAAACAGGATAACTAGATGATCCACAGTAGTGCTTTCACCAATCTGATACCCAGCTGAGACCAGCAGAAAATGCTGGAGTGGATATAAACAGCAGCAAACCTAGCCTGAAATACCACATAGTTTCTTGTAGCACAACATAATGTAAAGTAGGTTGCATGATGACAAGAACAGCCATAAGTAGCCAATAAGTTATCTTGCTGGCTATGTATGTGTTCCTGTGGGGTAGTACATTGTTTGAGTAGTCTGAGCACGGTACTTTAAGGTGATTAAAAAAATAGCTCATTTTGAAGCTTTGTAGTTTTTACAAAAAATATACTGAATATTGGTATCAGCTTCCAGTACTGTTAAAGAAAATGTGGTATTGTACCATCTCTAATCCAGTCTTATCAAGTCTTTCCTAATCATTTAAGAGTCAGAAACTGACCCTTTAAACTGCACGCATTGGTATGTTGGTCTGTATGTTAATTCTTGACTCAATTTCCATATTAAGTTCACAGTAGTTACTCGGAATATTGTATTATTCATATAAAATATTGTATTGTATCATAGTATTGAGGCTAGAGCTCAGAGTTAACATATTGTCACTTTCCAAAGAAAAACAAATATCTCCAAAATAGTAACTTTACAGGAGAGGGCAAAAACACTCTTACTTTTCAATGTAAGTCAATGTAAAGGGGTTTTATTCCCAGTGATTTTACAGCATTTCTATTGGTCCACTCATCATGAAATCACACAGTGTAAAGAACAGCTGGTGTGTTGAAATGATGCAGAAAAATAAAAATCGACAAAAATGGAGATACATGGTTTTCTTTGGACAGCGACGATATTAGATTGTGACTAGTGTGTTACATTGAGGCTAGAATTATATTTCAGTACAGCTACTGTTTAATATTTACAATCAGAATCAGAATGGATTAGACAATACTCCAGTGTGGCATTCTATTCTAATTCTAATTCTCGAATATTGTACTATTAAAAAAACATTAGCTTTAACATATTAACTTTTACACATTTTTAGCACATTTTTAGGCACAGTGAAAAATGTAACCAAAACAACAGTGTGGCAAAAACATGACTAAAACTCCTTATAAAAACTCTTTACTTTTTACATTAAAATTACAATGACCGCCTCAGTCTGTGCCTGTATTTGTATGGTTTCCCCTAACATTCAGTTGGTTGTCCAGGTGGAGTCTCCCACCACTTTTACCAGTAATGCTTGTCATCTGCATTGTCTCTTTAAAGGTGGAGTGTATTTTTTTCCTTCCATCTGATGTTTGCCATGCAGGCTGAAATGTCATGACAATTTAATGTAAAAAGTAAAAGTGTTTTTGTAAGGAGAGTCGTGCATTTTTGGCCACTCACTATGTGATTAATATACTTTTTTAAAGGCAAAACCTCACCTTATTTTCTTTTATACAACACCACATTGAATTTAACTGAACTGAGAATTGTTCCCCTATTAGTTATTAAATAATTCACAGTAGTTACCACATAATAAGCTTTCAGATTAATAAATGAATCACAAACCATATGGAGTTTAATGAATATAGCATGCTGTCTTACTTATACAATTCAACATTATATAAAATACCCAATTTTTCTCACTTTCTAGAAATTCTACACTTTGAGAATTTGCCACTATATCCCACTTACTTCCAACATAAAGACAGGAGCCTGCCAGCACGTCCCCACTGCCACCATGGCACACCAAGTTGTCCCCTGACTGCTGCTGGGAACCGTTGAGCCTGTGCAACGTTACGCTCAGCTCTGTCGGACTGAGCACCGTGTAGGTGCTCTTGGCCAGTCGTCTTCCATTAAGCGTCCAGTACAGAGAGCTGGCCGCTAGCCCCAGCTCAGAGCTAACAGCGCACACCACAGTTAGGCTGGAACCGATGGGAAGTGCTGGGTCCTGGGGGGAGATCACAGCCAAGTCTGGGGGTCAGAAAAATAAAAATCTGTATTTATGACCAGCAGAAACGGGAGTTTGGAGCTGGATTTATGACGGCAATGCTTCAACACTTGGGAGATCACTTGGAGAGGTCACATGAGGTCGTTTGTCAAGAGCTTAAGTGGTTTTCCATCCTCCAAATTTTCCCCCTCTATGTCAGAGGCCCTCATATTTATTCAGGTTTATGACAAATGCTCTAAAAGCAAACTGGACTGTTCTAGCGCACTGCTACTTATGTTCTTTAGGGACACCGTGGACCCAGTTTACTCTCGGTGGGAGGTGGATAAGCTTTTTAAACATGGCTATATCTCTCTGCTGGATGAAATATTTTTACTGTCTCTCTTCTTTTGCATTATAATGACTCACACAGGATTAAAATGAAGTGTTGTGATAGGAATATGAAGCAGAATGTTTGGCAGTTAAAGGGCAAAATAGCGGTGTATCATTACTCTTTAGTCTATCTTATAGTTCACTTAGTTTTTAAAGGAATGGTTCAGCGAAAAATCTTACTTATCCTAAGGCACGTTTCGTGTTTCGTTCTCGCTTCTTTCGTTTTGCACTGAAGTTCAGTGCTAATGCAGCTAACACATAATGTAAGTCTGTGTCACCCAGAATCTTTTTGGGTGGAATTGACTTCTACTGCATTAGCCTTGTAGCTCCACTGCAACACTAAAGAAGCTAACTTTGAACCAAACATGTCTTGGCTGATCGATGGCATTTGGACTAAGGGCGAATATGGAGTAAAGGGGAATATTATGTTATAAAGGGGGAGTTTTTTAAAGGATAGTCATTTCAAATTATTATGACGAGACTATAGGCCTGATCATCCTATCTAGTTTTTTCAGTACAATCTCCAGAGTTTAATGAACCCATTAATGTCCATCTGTATTGGTGCATGTGTTCTCTGAGATTGCACAAATCTGAAGACATGTTTTAATCAAACAATATGGCTAAAATAACTTAATATTACCTAATATTTCAAAATCTAGTCTTTTTGTCACATCAAACTACCGATTTTTAATTGAACGTGTAAACCCCAATTTTGATTTTGTATTAAAGTACATATTCAAAAAATCCAAAATGGGTTCTGTAAACCCCAAATTTGATTTTGTATTAAAGTACATATTCAAAAAATCCAAATGGGTTCTGTTAGATGTTCTACCAAAGTACAACTACACAATGTTTCATCACTTTAGACCAATCAGAACAAGTTCTGTGGAATTTGTTCAACATGTATGGGTTAATTAACATCCACAGCCTCCACTTGGAAGTTAGTTCAACACTTTAGGTGTTGATTCAGTTCTAAACCGGGGCTTTTGCTGCACATTTCCTCAGGAAGGCTGCTTTGGCCTGTGCACACCTTTCTCTAGTAGCTATCCAAACTCAAGCAGCATGCAGAATGTATTACCCGGCTAAGCAACCCAGTCTACTTACGTGTTGTCGAGGTAAAAACGTGTGGGATGAAGATCAGACACGATGTAGTCCACACTGCTAGTGCCGTCTTCATCGCGTCGCTGCTGCTCCGGGAACCGTTTTCATCACGTTGGTGGGAACAGATGCGCGGACGAGCCATTTTCGTTTCTCAGGCAAAAGTGGAAAAAGCCCTCGTTTTACATGAATTAGCAAACCACGGCAGGTGTGTGACGCTTTCTTCCTTTGTGGAGAGCTGCGTTCACACGGAGCCCGGAGTTTTTAGAGAGGTTTGAGTGCGTGTTGGAAGTCTGGAGTAAGTTACTCCTGAAGCTCCTCCTCCATCTTCCCCAGTCGCTCATCATTAGGAGACTCCTTCATTTGCCCATTGTAGTTCTATTGTGGTCCATTTTTCTTTCATTTGAACACTTAAAACTGGAAATCAAGGGTAAGGAATCGACAATCAAGTCTGTATTTTTGATTTGATGCTTTAATTTGTGGGGATCCTCAGGTTCAAAAATATTTAGACACCTGCTCAAACCAAGGGTTATAAACAGGTTTGGACAAAATACTTTGAAAAAGTCCACTGCTGAAAAAAACAGCACCGGCTAAGCTGGTCTATTCTGGTCTGGTGTTGGTTTAGCTGGTCACCCACCATGGCCATGCTGGCTGACCAGCATACCAGCATCCAAAACACAACATGTGCTGGTTATGCTGATGATCAGCCATGCTGGTCTGTGCTGTTTTTTTTCTAGCAGGCCTGCTTCAGTGCACTTCTACACCCATAATCCCCCAAGCAGGAGTCCACTACAATACCGACACTAAACTAATCACTCGCAAGCATGTCCACAACTGAGGAGACTATTAGTTTGATCCTCCCTCGAAAAAGCACAGTAATGCTGAGATTAGTAACCGATCATCATGTTGGTTTATCAGTCTACTCAGGCTTTAGTATGAACTTCAGTGTTTGTAAAGAAGCTGTTAATCCCCTTTAGAGTTTGTCTAACGAGCATGTTTGCTACATGCCATGTGCTGATTTTAAAATAGCTAATAAGCAAGGATTGATGGTGTTTCTTTTGAAGACTGTATTTTTTTAATCTAGTAGGTATTCTATTGATATTCCCCTAGCTGTATTCTGAATACTGCCTTTACTAAATGTAACTTGGACTGAATACAGATACTTAATTTACATATTCTGAATACGTATTCCCAATACTTATATTCCATTACATCCCAACACTGTATAAATAGTAAGTTTGTGCCCCTCCACTCCCCCTTACTTTGCTGTAGTAACAGCCTCTTCTTTTCTGGGTAGGCTAGATGTTGGAACATTGCTGTAAAGATTTGACTGCACTCAGCCACAAGAGCATCAGTGCGGTCAGTTACTGTGCCTGAGTTCTGGATCACAAACTCCATTCCGACTCATCCCAAAGGTACTGGATGGACCTCCATCACTAAAGAGAATGCAGTTTCACTGCTTTACAGCCCAATGCTGGGGGGTTTATATCTCTCTGAAAGATGCCTGGCACTGGACATGATGACTATAGGTTCATCAATTCTGTTGGTCAGTGCATTTCTATAGAGAATGTAAAAGGTGTGTAAGTCTTATTTGTTTATACTCTAAGCAGATGTAAAGATATCTACCCAATGAAAATAAACGTTATTGGCCAATAAACTTCCAAAGAGTTTCCTTCAGACCACCAAATGGAACTTATTAGCACATTCAACAAATATGATAATTGAAACTTAAATCTGCTCTCTTTTTTGGGATTTCCTTTTTTCCTTATTTAACTCTTATACACCCTTCAAAAAGGGGTTCTTTAAAGGTTTTTAGTAAATGCATTCATTATATATAGAACCATCAAAATTCAAAGAACAATCTGAATGCTTAAATCATTGTTTGCATAGTTATACAGTTCAATGATGCACAGAACTCTTCTATATGGTACTCTTTTTTGATACTAGGCTATAAAGGACCCTTATAGTGCTAAGAGTGTTTACCTTAAGGAAATACAAAGACTGACGCTCTAATCTCTCAGTGTGTTTAATATATCTTTAATATTGTTACTGTAATTTTCTTTAGGCTATTGGAGAATAACAAACAGACCTCGTGTGAAATTACTCCTTGCAGCATCAAACTACCGGTGATGGTTTAAGAAGATGCCATAAACCTGTCAGGCTTGTAGTCGGGCTCCAATGACAGCAAAATGAGCTCAGTTGGCACCATAAACATGGATCTAGGCATCCACATGTTCAGGATAAGTGAAGAAAGCATCACACATACCATAGAAATAACGTGGTGTTATAAAGTTGAAGAACATAAAGTCAAAGAAGGTGGGCGTGATTGTTATATACAGTTGTTTGCTAAAGTCTGAACACCCCCAGCCACATTAAATGTGTTGATGATATTCTGTGTGAAAATAAGTTAACACATTCTCTACAGGGACAAACCTAAATATGCCATTTTTCAATGCATAATTTTTATGACTTTGCTAAGTTTAACATACTTAAAACAAATAAAACATAAACTGTGAAATGTGCCATAACTTTTGCACAGGCCACATCTTGTTAATTTTCCCCAATATGTTAAATTCAGCAAATAAACAGTAGTAGTGCATTAAAATGTGTAGAAGTGTGTTCTCTGTATAGGATGTGTTAACTTATAATATTCACTCAGAAAATCAACAAAACATGTAATTTGACCCTAAACTTTTGCAGACAACTATGTTGTTGTAGTTATGAATATGCTCATCTGGTACTTCTCTGTAATCACCGATCAGCCATCATGCTTACCTTGTTTCTACATTGTCCATTTTATCAGCTCCACTTACTGTATAGGAGCACTTTGTAGTTCTGCAATTACAGACCTTAGTCCATCGTTTTCTCTGCATACTTTGTTAGCCCCCTTTTACCATGTTCTTCAGTGGTCAGGACCACCACAGAGGACATATAATTTGGGATCGTTCTCAGCTCTGACGTGGTGGTGGTGTGTTTGTGTGTGTTGCGCTGATACGAGTGGATCAGACACAGCAGTGCTGCTGGGGTTTTTAAACACTGCGTCCACTCACTGTCCACTTTATTAGCCACTCCTACCTTTTGGTCCACCTTGAAGATGTGAAGTCAGAGATGATAGCTCATCTGTTGCTGCACAGTTTGTGTTGGTCATCCTCTAGTCCTTCATCAGTGGTCACAGGACGCTGCCCACAGGACGCTGTTGGCTGGATATTTTTGGTTGGTGGACTATTCTCAGTCCAGCAGTGACACTGAGGTGTTTAAAAACTCCAGTAGCACTGCTGTGTCTGATCCACTCAGACCAGCGCAACACACACTAACACACCACCACCACATCAGTGTCACTGCAGTGCTGAGAATGATCCACCACCCAAATAGTACCTGCTCTGTGGTGGTCCTGTGGAGGTCCTGACCACTGAAGAACAAGGTGAAAGGGGGCTAACAAAGTATGCAGAGAAACACCTGCACGACAGTCTGTAATTGTAGAACTACGAAGTAATCCTATATTGTAAGTGGAGCTGATAAAATGGACAGTGAGTGTAGAAACAAGGGAGTGGTTTTAATGTTCTGGCTGATTGGTGTATGTGTAATATGTATTTTTATAATTCATAACTGTGAATTATTGTTGTCTCATTGCCAGCTATTCTCACTTTTTCACAATGAGAAAAAAAAAATCTATTTTCTATCCTGTTATTAAAATTTGATTGCCTGTTTTACTGTTTACTTCAGTCAGTCTAATTGCACATTAACCTGCAGTGAGAACCAACTCGCTGTGAAACACATTCAAGCGGAAAGTAAAGCGGTTGTTTGTGTGCACGTTCGAGTCTTCAATGCAGCGGTGCGCGCGCGCTGAAAAGCGGCAGGCGCGTGCGTGAGGGTGTTATCAGGCGGGACGTCACAGCGCATCCAAAAGCTTCTTAGCGAAGCGGCGTTGTCTTTTTCCCACCCGCATTCCGTCTAGCCCCGCCCTCCTGCGATGTGATTGGTTGATATTTCATGCTCAGAAGCAGTCCGCAGTTCTAGAATGCGAAGCAGTGAACGCTATTCAGACAAGCCCCGCCTCCCGCGCTAGAATTGGCTAATAGTTCGTGCTCTGTCAGCCAATCCTACCGCAGGCTAGTACCTCACTAACCAATCGTAGTGGAGGAAGTGTGCTGCGACCAGCCAATCCGCACCCAGGACGAGGGCTCCTACTGGCCAATGCTAGCTCATGAGGCAGGGCTTGTCCTAATACGGGTGGGGAAAATAAAAAAATAACGCTGGCGAAGCAGATGTAGATCGAAGCGAAAGCGGGGGAGTCGAGCCGGACGGAGCCTGCAGTGCACGCCGCCTCTCTGCTCACTGCATTCGGCCAGAAGATGCTCCGGGTGGGCGGCATGGCGCGCAGCGGTCCAGCTCTCCTCTCTCTGCTCTGCGTGGCGCTGGCGGCCGCATCCACCGACCTGTTCGACAACCAGCTGGGCGACATCAGCTACTGCAAAAAGCAATGCCAGATCAACATCAGAAACAAAAGCCCGGCCAAAGTAAGTGACCCCAGCCCGGCGACACGTATGGTGTGCATCAGCTAAAGCGCAAGGTGTGCAAAGTGCAGCCGCAGTGAGAGTGCGATTTGTGCAAAGTGGAAAGGGTTTTCGCTCAGCCGCAGCCATTTGCAGCACCACCAGGTTTTTTTTCTTAAAATGATGTGCTGCAACCTGAAAAAAGGGAACGAATGTTTCTTCATGCTCAGATTTTTATCTCTAGGGGGGGTGGTGTGGTGTAAAAAATGGATCGTCGTTAAAATGAAGGTTTATATCGGGCTGATTCTTAATCGATAGAGGCTTAATAGCCCAGCTGCGGCTTTGTGTGTCTTCGTTCCTGCCCGCATGGACGTCCCCTGCCCCGTGCAGCCTGCAGTCTGAAGAGCAGGCCCAAAATTATGAGGCTGTTTTACGATGCATGACTTGTAGCCTAATGTTCGGCGACGTGAGCAATGGGCCATCTGCACCAAACCCATAAAGTGACGGTCCACGTTTATAGCCGTTTATTCATCCCCCTCCAAAGCATTTTATGCCAAAATGTGTCCTCGTGTAGCTCTTCATTGTTAGATGCGGGCCTGCAGACCACCCACGTTACAGAATGAGACTGAGGATGAAAACGTTTCCCTAAATGATCATCACCACAGGCTAAATACACCACACCTGAATAATAATCAAGCAGGCTGCTCCATTTTGTCGGGGTTGGATTTCATTTTCCTCTGGGCTCGCTGAGCATCACCTTGGGCAGGTGCAGTGCTAGGGGGCGCTTCGGAGCTCCTGAGCTCCTCACACCAGCACAGGGGAGATTAAATGCAGTATTTTAATCAATGGGATGCTTCTGTAGCCGTTTTAATCAGTCGGATGCCATTATGTCCAGCCAGAATTCCTCACAGGCTAATCTAGACTGTCTAATCTCTTCACCAAATGCTCGGTGTTTATATTGATATTCACTCAGCTCCATTACTAGACTGTGAATATCCATGAAATGCAGTCGTGCGTTGTGTCTCAGTGGCCCCAGTCACACACAGGTCGAAGAGCGGTGTGTCTGCGCTTTGTAAAAGGCCCAGTAACACTGCGGATCTGAGATAATGCCATTAGTCTGCTGACGTTTTCATCTCAGCCGTCTGGCGGCGCTGTTTATTCGAATGGAACGTCGCAACTTTGACAGAGCATCATGTAGCCTGTTGTTTTCCTTTAAAAAATCCCCACATGATTATGTAAGATCAGGGAATTAGGCCAGGAAGCTACATGAAAATGAGCCTGGAGCATTCTTTCTGAAGGCAGGCCTGCTGATGTTATGCTTTTAAGCACTTTTTAATGACGGATCCCAAAAATGTCACTTTTTTAGGGATATTTACATTTCTACAAATAAATAACATGAATGTAATGTGCATTTACTTTCATTATTACACTGGATGTTGTGCACTGAGAATGATATTAGTTTACTGCAGAGTTTTAAGCAATTTCAACAAAGTGTTTTACACAAAGAATGTAGGTTTTGAGAAAAGAATTAACCCCTCATGGTCGTTTGAATAAGAATAAGAAATAAAAATGTGTTGACGTTAAATGATGATGTTGTCTTTAAATAACTGGGTTACAGAAGATGGACAAACATCAATGAGAGTACATTTTAATTAATGAAAGCTGCTTATTTTGATTCAGAGAAAATTTAATTCCAAGGAAACCCAGATAAATAGCACTGAAAGGTTTCAGTCGTGTTCCGTAAAGTCTGTGTATACGGACTTTATTTAATTAAATAGAAAAGTGGCAAAATTCAATAAAGTTCATAAAATGTTTGATTTTTTTTAATGTACTACTTAAAAATGAAAATATACTAAGGTGACAGTTATTTAAATTAAAATCAATTTGCAGACTTAACTTGAAATTAATTTGTTTGAAAAACAGAACTTTTTTTAAAAGTCAACTCACTGGGCCTCATTCACCAGCCATTTTTAAGAAGAAATTCCTTCTTCAGATCCACTTTTGCAGTCTTCACAAAGATTCTGACCTTCATCAATGTTTTCTTATTTGGAATTTGTTCTTAGGTAAGAACAGAATCTACACACACTCTAGAGCAATTCTGCGGTTTAAGAACACGTCATGAATCTGATGTAGACTGATGTAGGAGCTTTCTCAGGAACACATTCAAGAAAAAACTTAGAAAGATATTGGTGAATGAGGCCCATTGTTTACAGTTTACAATGTGTGGGTCTGTGGGGTATTTATGTTTTACATATCTTTGTAGTGCTACACTAAGATGGTAGTTCTAGTTATTAACTGTTCTAAATTATTGCTAAATATCCTGCATTTAATTCAGTCTCTTCATTTGATTTGTATATTAATGTCAATAGGATTCAGTTCACCCATACTTTGGTAATCATATAACCTCTGAGTTACTACTCATACCATTATTTCTGTTACTGATACTGTTACTAACTTCTTTACAACATCCATTCATTGCAAGTAGCCTAACAGAGATTATTTACTCAATTAAATGTGTACATAATGCTGGCAACAAAATGCAGTATATTACAAAGTTAAACACTAATTTGGTGTAGTGAACTATTTACACAACCCCACTGGAACCTTTACTGCAGTAACAGTCTCTACTCTTCTAAGAAGGCTTTACACTAGATGTTGGAACATTGCTGTGAGGATTTGATTGCATTCAGCCACAAGAGCATTAGTGAGGTCAGGTACTGATGTTGGATTATTAACAGCTCCAGCTAATCGGGAAAGTACTGGATGGAGCTCCATCACTCCAGAGAATGCAGTTCCACTGCTCCACAATCCAATACTGGGGGGGGCTTTATACCCCTCTGACCAATGCTTGGCATTGGGTGTCCTTATGCTAATGTGCGGCTGCTCAAGAGTGTCCCATCCTATTGGCAATTTTTTTCTATTAAGATTACACAAGCTGTATGTGTGCCACGGAACGCCAGTGTCAGCAATGGGTTCACCTTAAAGGAACTGAATTCACTAATTAGAAGGGGTGTCAAAAAATTTTGGACATGCATTATAGATACCTCTGTATACACTTCAGAGTATTCACAGTATTCAATTCTGTATTCAATTCAGAGAGAAATATGTTTTCTATAACAATCTCTATTGTAATAACACACTATTGACAATGTTCTTGCATAATTTATTGTAATTTTAAAAGTTTAGCCAATCTGTGATCAACAAACACTTATCACAAAAAAAATTCTGGGGATCTCTCCATCAAAAGTATCGCAGTATTGGCGCTGACATCTTTTTCTTTTTCAGCGTCTTAGCTTAAGTACGTCTTTAGACTCTATCCTATTCACACTAGCTTATAGATACCAAGATAAGAAGACAACAAAGCACTTCTGTATTTCACTCTGGATAAAAACGTCTCCTAAATGCAATAAATGTAAATATATATCAGATATGATTGTAGCTCTCACAAAGCTCCTTGTGTGTTTGCAGGACTCCATCATGAATGCGTGCTATCGCGGCTGCCGCCTCTACTCCATTTGCCAGTTTGTGAATGGAAACACAGGCTTCAACAACAGCAAGGAGGAATGCCAGGGAGGTAAGGCCTTGGGTGCACCTGGACTGGTGATAGAGTGTTGCTTAAACAAAAGAAGACCACACAAAGACACCATAGAGTTGCATCAGAGTGTCTCTGCACAAAGTATCTAATGGAATCCTTTGGAGTTCACTGTTGGAAGGCTCATATCGCAAGTCTTTGTCTTGGAGATTGTCTGGAGATGTTTTTTTCCAGCAGTAGCAGCTGTGCCCTCATAGCAAACAGCACTGCCTGAGACAGAACAGTCTCTATTGGAGCTGTCCAGCCTGTGGGAGGCAGCTTTAGTGAAAATCAATCCTGCACTCTGGTGGAAGAGGCAGATGCTCAGATGTTTGTTGATATTGATGACTGCCAGGCTGTAGGGAGAACTGAATGGGGATGGAAATACCTGACAGGTACCGTGCATGTGTCTGTGTATTTGTTTGCAGCGTGCCAGGAGGCATACAGTAAGTTACTGGAGCAGGAGGCCTGCAGCACAGGCTGTGCCAGCCAACCAGCCGAACCTGAGATCAAACGGAGGAAGGTAGGAATGGAGGAGTATGGCTCCTTGAGGCGTGCAGTCTTTCGACATTTGAATCCAGTTATTCTACGAAACAAACTGCTAACAAACACCTTCGGATTTCTTTCTGCAGCTCAAAGCCCTGACCAACCGTCCCAAACCTGTCTCAGTGATGGACGCTGTGTCCAGCTGGTGTAACGATATTGTCAGCTCTGCTCAAAGCTTCATCTCCTCCACCTGGACCTTCTACCTGCAGGCTGATGACGGCAAGGTGGTCGTCTTCCAGGTTAGTTTTTATCTCCTTAAAAACTTTGGTTACAGTTCTCCCCCTTACGCCAAAGGCATTCAATCAGCAAAGACATGTTTACTGTCTTTAATTTGCTTTTTTAGCTTTGTTCTAGAGCTATGGAGCTAATGTAGCTAGTAAATAATGTAACCTTACTGGTGGCTAACCATGTGCAAACTGCATGCCTAAATTGTCATACACCTGCCTCAAAAGACATTGTTTGGCTACGTAATGCCATTCGTACATAACCAGTTTCATAAAATAGTAAAACAAGTCCATATAAAAATTAAATATACTGTACAAATAAAACTGGAAATATATGATCATACAAATTGCTTCTACCTTAATTGTTCCACCTTCAAACTTTCTCTGTAATGTAATGTATGTCTGACATGAACTTGTTAAACCTTTAGAATGAGTTTATTATTCATTTCTTAATCTTGAAGCATAATTCAGCAACTACTAAGGTATGTAGGTACAAGAGAGAGAAGGGAATTCGGGACCTGCAGATGGGTTCTTAGGTGTCAATGGGAGCCCCAGGTTAACATGTTTACTGCAAAAAGTTTCCTTAAAAAGTCTTATAAAGTCTTAAAAAGGTTTTAAAATGTATTTTCATAAATGTCATAAACTATCTTGTTTTATGCTATTATAGGTATTAATTTCTGAGATGCCTAAAGGGTGAAAAGAGTCATTTTGCATATTAGCTACTTAAGTAGCCAGGGCCCACTGGTGGGCCCCACACGTCTATAACCTAAGAACAGCTCAGCTATTTTGCATTAAAGTCCTTGTATTTACTGAAAAATAAGCATTAGTTTGTAATAAGTCTGGGATTTTAAAGGGTTAAACTAATAAACAGAATAGACTACCAGTTAGAAACATTCAGCTGAGAGGAGTCCTGTGGTCAGAAGCTGACCGCTGATGAAGGGTAAGACACTGAAAAATCATCAAGCATACATCTCAAAGCAAATATGCACAGTGTAAATGTAATTATTTTACCTTGTTGAGATCCTAAAAAGGTTAAAAGGCACTAAATTTCATTTAAAAATTGTGCTGCAACCTTGGTTAACTTACTGTGTTCTCACCAAAACATATGTAGTCTTTTTTGGACAGCATTCACTCCACCACAGCATTAAAACCCATGTAGACTAGAGTGATATCCACTTCATGACGCCCACTAGCAATCTCTACAGAAATAGCCCATGTCCCCCAGGGTTCATGCATAAGCCAAAGGCTTCAGTTCAAGTTTTTCTGCAATGAGTTACACCATGGAACTCCAAAGTTGGAGCACCGCTATTCACATCAGCAAAAACCCAGCAGATTCTGCAAGCCAAGACAAAACATGTCTTTAGCAAAACAGGTTTAAAGATGCGGTTCAAGAATGTAGAATTAAGCCATCACAAGGCTGTCTGCCTGTCTTTCTTTATCCAGAGGCATGATGAATGTCTGTCTTGCGGTTATGACATGGGGGGGAAGTGAGAAAGAGACTTCCACAGACCATCACTCAGCCCAACCAGCCTGTGTTTAGTGGGCAGCTGGCAGACAGCCAGTCATTTGAAATATTGAGTTTGGCAAAGGAAACTACCAAAAGGAGGGAAAAATCAAGACCAAGGAGACAGCGCTTTGATATCCAATGTTTAAAGTGAGGCTACAGAACTAGCACTTTCTCAGAATAGCAGTACGCCATTTGTGGTGAATGAAGGGGACTAATGATGGGCCTTTTGCTTCAGTGGTCTAAATGGAGAAAAGATTTTTTTTTCCTTTATGGGGGAAGTTCTTGTAGTGAGTGTGATGTTGATAAAAGCAGGTATATATATTTACTGACTGTCAACAAGAATGGAAGATGTATAGTGAATGAACAGAGGAAAAGAAAGTGCAGGGTGAAGTTTACATCTGTAATAATCCATATAGAATAATTTCTAGCAGTGCCTCGATCATTGCAACGTGCAAGTTACTTGAGCTTTATCTACACAGGTTTCCAACAGAACCACATTCCAGTTTAGCATTCTGAAGGGTCTGCAGGGCACTTGGGAAATCTGTGACCCACTGGATGTCACTCATGGGGCAACATATTCCATCGGTTAAGCAGCAGCCTGGACTTAATCATGTTTATCCATTCTGCCCATGCCTTTGATGAGTCCCTCAGAGGTAATCAGGGGGAATCAGCCTGTTTCCTCAGAGCCAGAGAATAAACATAAATCCACTGTGGACTAGCCACTGATTGGGGGGACCAAATCTTGTTTCAAATGAGGTCTGGCATCTTGTTTAAATTCCAGCTGAGTTCAGCGTGGACATGGTGCAAGGTTTTTTCCGCAAGAGCGGAAGAGGAGGTAAGATGGGTCCGGAGAAAGAAAAGTCCAAATAAGGGAAATGAGATTGTTTACAATTAAGTCAGCAATCCCAGCCTCTTGTCTTGGTGGAGTCTCGTGAATGCTGCTGATCACCTTTGGCATGTTTTGCGGTAATGCGTGACAGATGCACATTAGACCGCTTTCACTAATGGCAAGATTCCATCGGTCTGTGGCCAGTGAACATTAACTTCCTAAGATGTTCATTTTTTCCCTCTTTGATCCTCTCCCTTCTTCGACATCTGGATTCAATGCTTTTGACAGGATGGCTTTCAATAACAGTGACTGTGAGAGGCTTGAGGTTACGTTGGACCAATGGGACCTGGGCAGTCTAAGGATATGCGTGCCAAATTACCCATTCTATATAGCATTTCTTGCTGCATATGTCTTCATGGGGCCTTGGTAGGGCCTCTTGTTGTTCACTTGAAGCATCCTAAATCCAGGCAAATGTAAACTGAGCATTCTCCACCAGCCAAACATCTCTAGGAACCTTCATCTTGAATATCCGTGGGGCCACCAACTATGAGCATTTGTAAAAAAAAATTCCTAGCTGTTAATCAGTTGTTTTTTGTCTTGAAAGAATAATTGAGAGCTTCTAAAACGTCTGTCCTTCTGATCTAGTGAGATTAAAGTCACACGGACTTAGTGCTGCACTAAAATGATGCTTTGAATTTACAGGAATGATAAATAAGTATTTAAGCCATTACTCATTCAAAGCCAGTCAAAGCATCATTTTTTCAATGCATCAGCCCTTGTGTGTTCGTCCATATAGTTAATGTTAGCTTCTCTCACGAGGAGAACTGTGAACAGTCTGCTTTGCTGAGGTCACCACCACAAAATGTTTAGGAGTGCATCTCTTATGAGCTCCTAAAAGGTAACTTCAGAAAGTTTTGCAAAGAAAAGCATATTCATTCACAAATTTAATGAAAGGGGTATTGAGTAGTGAAATAGATTCATCCTGTCCCCAAAACTGATAGAACATTAAGGTAATATTCTCAAATATTTACTGACAAGGTCTCCTCTTGTGGGCTGTTTACCAAAGTCTTCTTACTTTTCTCCAAGCAGTGCTTGCTGACTAAGCAAATTTTGATTTCTGGATCCACCTTGGCCTCCTCCTCAGTGCATATATTTAATACATCAAACAGTATTTTATCCACCTTGAATAAGTACTTGAAGACTATAAAGTGAAATGGCTGCATTATGCATTAAATACTCAGGTATAATCTTCAGTGGGCAAAGCTCTTGAGGTAATGAAAAACTTATTTTTGAAGGATCACACCGACATTAAGGCATCAAAGTTGGCTCAGTCAAGACTTCAGATGAATTTGAATGAGGTTAAACATCTAATCTTGTATTTTTTTAGAATGACAGTTCTGTTGTTGAATAGAAAATGCTGTAATTATTACTTTTCCTTTCACCTTTGCTGGAACTGGTAAAGGCTAGCGTTAGTGTTCTGATCATTTCACACACTTCCTGTGTCGCTGTGTCACTGTGTGGTTGTTGATATTGTGTGTAGGGATGCGCTGACATTTCAGCCACCTAATGAAGTGATAAAGGTACATACACAGTAACACAAAGGTCGGTAACTGATAACCACTGACAGAACAGATACTGATAAGATAAATAGAAAACTTGAACCTGGTAACATGCGAACCTGCAAACATACAGCCCAGGCAAGACTTTGCAAAGACAGTATAAAACAGGGACAGCAATTACATAGATAACAAGACACAGGTGATACGATTGAAGGGGCAGTAGATCAGCATGTATTTTTAATATTATTATCTGTATTTTGTTTTTCTGTCTGTTGACTCATATTGATGAGGCCAGTTTGCAAATAGTAAAAAAACTATGCAAGTCATCTTCAGTCTTGTTCAGGTTCTGTTATTCAGAAGCCTCCCTCCAGAACAAATCTCTCAACACACTTTCCTGCTCTCGCTGTGTTTGTTGGTTCTTTCAGAGCCAGCCTGAGATTGAGTACTCCCTGCCTGAGTTGCAGGCTCCTCGCTCCAGTGTTGCAGACAAGCCCTGGCCCCAAGTCAACCCACACACGCAGCGGCCACACACTGGTGAGATGGAGCGCCTTTAGCTCTTCAGGCTGTTTACAGCTCTTTTCTCCGTAAGCCCAGCCCTGGCCTGTAAACACAGTTGATCCATTCTTTGCCTTGACTTTAACTCTTAGAAGTCTAGAGTAATAGTGGTTTTGGCCTACATTGAATTTCTCTTGTGTTATTATTTAAACGCAGCTGCAATGACTTTGTTTGTTTCATTGACAAAAATGTAAAGAATTTTTTTTTCAGATAAATTATCTCCGACTCACAAACACAAATATGGTACAGATTTAAAGTCTAGAATCTGCACTTTTGACAATGTCTCCACTTGTTTCAGGGAGCTACAAGTGAGAAATAATTAATATAAAAACACCCTTTTGGTATTGCTTGCTAAAACTGCAACATCTAAAGGTTAGTGTGTGGCATGCCCTGCGCAATGCTGTAGTTTCTTCAAAGCTCACAGGTCACAAAATCAATGACCTCCTGCTGAAAGTGCTGCCTCTGCATCCTTTTAGGAGGGCGGTCGCATGGGGAGAGAAACGCAGCGAAGGCCTCAGGAAAGGGAAAACACAGCAACCAGCATGCTGAGGACCCCGCTGCTGAGCACGACTTCCTGGGCTGCATGTCAAGGTGGGAGAGGTCGAACAGTTCCAACGGTGCCAGTTAAGGCTTATTATTTAGTAATTATTAATAATTAAAATGAATTATTCAATGACTACCATGAAACAGATATGTCAGTTTATAGGTTATATAGTAATGATAGTAAAGAACTGAAATATGGGCCAAAATACAGTTTAAGGGATTAAAAGTCCAAGGAATTATTCGAGTAAACAGTGAACAGGGCAGTAAAGAATCTGTTCCCTCTCTGTATATTTTTCTCTCTCGCAGGCGTTCAGGTCTGCCGCGCTGGATCTTGGCAGCGTGTCTCTTCCTGTCCATCATGGTGATGTTGTGGCTGAGTTGCGCCAGCCTGGTGACGGCGCCTGAGCAGCACGTCAAGACTCAGGTACACACTCATTCATCAGCTGTTCACTGCATACTCATACAAACAAGAAAGCCATAGCAAACCCCTCTTTCTGCCTAGATCCCGCTGCCTAGCAGATTCACTTCTCTTAACCCTTAGAAGTCCAGAGGTATTACTATGGAACCATGCATCTCATCAGTGATCAAATTTGTCCCCTTTAACTTGTTTAAATCTGCTGTCAGATGAGTTAAGGCACATGCATGTCTACATTAGCCACAGTGAAATGGATCCGCACATACAGTCTGCGCTTTCTCTGTGCTACTGTGTTTTCTGTCACTGTATGAAAGACATACGAGGCTTCCTTTAAGGTTGGATGGACTGTAGCTTGTCTGTTTGAGTATGCATGCTTATTCAGAGCCAATTCAGATCAGTAAGAGCTTATCATTATCTGACATGACAACCTACTGATCTCCCTCAACTACTTTTTAAATATTAAAACATGTTTTGAAATGTATTCATCTGCATGATGCTAAACGCTTGTGTAACACCAGTGCTGTCACCTAAAAAGGTAAGCCACAGCTCAGATGAAGATATGCTTTTTCTTCTTTTTATTTTGCCATTGCTTTGTCCTTCTCTGTGGTTAACCAGATATCCATTCATGACCTTCTACAGATACTCCAAAATCTACCTTATTTGGAAGGCAGACCCCTGTTTGCTACATCATGTTTTTTTGCATATCTAGTAAATGTAACAACAGCACTGAGAAATCACATGATTAACAGAAAACCCTAGACTAAACAGCAGAAATAGCCATGTCTTTGCACTGGCTTTAAAAGGTAAAATGCTTTGCATAATTAATTGTACTGCGCTTGTCGGTTTCTCCCATTTGTTTTGATGACAACAAATGACAAAAACAGGGCATGTAACATTTAAAGTTTTCTTTTTCTGTCTACGAAACAAGACTTTATGCACAACAATATCATTTCATCAAATCCACACCATAGTGAAAAATGTCCTTTTCTACTTAAAACCACAAATGTTGTATCGTTTGAAAGATTGGAAGCTGCAATTTCAACAGAACTTCTCTGCACTATGACTGCGAAATAAATCAAATTATATCATAATTTTATTATTAGTGACAATAGCTGCAACTTCTAAGTGTACACTTAACCCTGGTGATTTTGCTGTGTGTACTATATGAAGGTCAGAAAAACAATAGTGTCCTAATGTTTAATATACTGCGTACACTTTGAGACAGTCTTATGTTTGCTTTGGTTTTACTCATGGACTGATTTTCCACTGCAGCTGAGCATCAACGGAGATAAGGAGTTCCTGGACGACATGCCAAAGGTCAGCCCCTACCATTTGACTCCAGTGATTGCTGTCGCAATTGGCCAGTCTGACGAGGGAAAAGAGGCGGGGCCTCTGCCAGTCAAAGTTGACCTGAACAAAACCTCACTTTAGAGGGGTCGGAATCTGTTAATCTCGCTCTCATTTACAGGGATAAAATCACACCATTTTTTTCTAAAGTAACCATGCATGGCATCATTTAATATAACATTTATAATTATGTCCTGTCTGGTGTCTGAAGTCTTCACAGAATCTGCCAGACACTTGCAGTTGTACTATAAATGCTTGTCCACACTCATTTTACTTTACAATCCATATTCATAACTGTATATGAGCTAAAGAATAAGGAATAAATTACACAGCTGTCATGAAAGTAATTTTCTTCATGGCTATGTAGATTGGTAGGTTTTGTTCACTAGACAATGCTACTTAGGAAAACAAGATTACTCGCCAAGCATTGAATGCTGTGCTTAAAGAGTTTAGATAAGAAAGAACACACACTGCAATGTAAATGGAAGGTGAACACTTCCTAAGTGCTCGCGCAGATTAATTAGTGCCATGCAGAGATGAAGCACACAGATAGATAAGCCTGGGGCTTTGAAGGTGATTCTGTTGGAAACTATCCAGCTTTGTTAACGTCAGATACTCGCTGATCTGACAAGTGTGAGGAATCAAACCTGGCCCATAAACGGAGCCTCACCGTCGGAACAGCTGATTAAAACATTTGCACAACATGCAGACGGAACGCTAATATATTCTTTGAACTAGCATGTCGCCGAAACAGCGAAGACACTCTTAATTACAGCGAGAAAAAGACAAACGCTGACAGCTTGATTAGCTTGCTTGTGATTGTTTTCCGTCTCCGATCGGGAGTGGGTTCCTTTTTTTGGAAGGAAGGGAGATTTTAGCACTTATTTTCGCCTGTTTGAACACAACTGGAAGCATGCCCCCACTCACAGATGAATGGGAGCATGACGCAGTGTACATACATGTAGTTATTTATTTATTTATCTATTTCTATGTTTACACAGAGCTTATGATAACACTAACGTATAAGGTCTTAAGCGTCTCATCTATCATTTAGATGCTCTTTGATAAGATTCCGTCGCAAGTGTACCAAATTTGTCCCCTGTGTAAATCGCTGCCATCTAGTATTTATAGCCAGTGCAGATTTCTCATAGGGAAGGTAGGGTGATGCAGAGGTACTTTGTTGTACTGTTGTACAGTAAGAATGTGAATTTCTCTACTATCTTCGGGCTTTTTTGTGTTCATATATATATATATATATATATATATATATATATGCCAATGGTAGGGTATGGGGTGGTTCTACTTCCGCTTAATGCTAGGCTTTAACAAATAGACCATTTGTAACCAGCTGTAGAACTGACCAGCCTAAGGTCGTTTCTAGTGCAAACTGTCTTGTAAAGCTATTTTATCTATTCAGTCCTAGTCGCAGTGCATGCTAGTACGCTATGAGACTTAAATGACCTGTCACCTTCTGGCAGCAAACTACTGTACGCTTTTAATCTTTGTGTTTACAGCTTAATGTTGAATAGGCAGTGTAATTATAATTGCAGGTGATAAAGAAGGAAGAAATTGTGTATCTTAAAGTCCATATCCTAACTGGCTCTCAGTTAAGGTCACTGCTGTATAAAATAAAAGTCTTTCTCTTTTGAACAGTTTTCAATGACCTGATCCATAATACACAACGAAATAAAGTCTTTTCATGTTGTACTTAGCCGAGCGTTGGTCGTATTTGTTTGTTCCATAAAGATTTGCTCCAGGTTTTCTTCTCTTTTTTTTTTTAGCATTTAATGCAAGGAAAAAACAAGTGACAAAGCTCAACAGTAGAGGGCAGACTTCACTGAACAACTGAAATTTTCTCTCCATCATTCACAGTGACGAGCCAACAGCAACAATACCACTTGGAGTCGGAAGAGGGATCTCTGGCAGTTATTTTTTCATTATAAAATCGACATCCTGTCAATCATCCGCAACTGTTCACACAAACAGTGGTACAGCGTTTGACCTGCACGGAAAGCCAAGCATCAAAGCTATGTGAACATATTCCTAGTTCTTTTTTAAAGATGGTAGCAATTTTATGTTATTTTGAAGAGGAAAAGACACCAGAACGTGCACAATCTTTCAGAGGCTCATAAGCCACAATCAGAGGCTCATATCAAAGGTCTTTGGGTGCTGGAAAAGGGTGGATAGTTACCATTTCCCCCCACATTATACCATCTTAATACTTGTAGCTTGGGTAAACCTGTTTATCATATGGCCACTAGATGGTAGACGTTAGCTTGGAGATGGAGTCGGCTGAAAGAAACATTTATATGCACGCAGAGGACGCTTTACTGCATCACTGCTTTTACACCCTTGGTTTAACTTCAAAACATTGCTTAAAGAATAAAGAAGAGATTCTCTGATGTAAAGAAAATATATTTGCCTAATAGGTTTCTATATTTGTATTTCAATGTGGCCTTCTTCTGCACTTCACTGGCAAAAAATCTGGATAAATGGAGATTTATCCCATCGGCTAAGTCTTTCAACATCTCCCCGAATTTATGTCTAAAGTGTGTCAAGCAATCAGTCACAAAGTGAGTTTTTCTGAGAGCTGTCCAGCAGTGTCTTCTAAAAAAATAGCTGGCTTTTAAATCAGACATGCACACATGCCTGCTGCATCCACTGACACTAATCGAGCCTTTCCCAGAGGAGAGAGTTGCAGATAAAACAGTTTAAAAAGAACAGGATGTAACATCAATATTCAGATGTTGAATTAAATGTATGTACTGTAAGATGAATGATGCTAAGGAAAAGAGACATCTTTGTTATACTGCTGAATGGGATCATACATCATCTCCTTATGGACCATAGGACATTCAGAAGCTTGAAGTGCACATCCTTAAACTATTGAGTGCTTGCCAATGCTTCACTCCAGCTCATAAGCCCTAATCTACTGTGTCGTCTTGCGGAATTTATGCCAAGCCAGTACCCATATGGTTTAACATTATTTTCACTTCCAAACACTTTATCAACGCTGCACTTGGCCTCCATCACATGTACAGTTAGACTGTTTGACAGATGCTACTAGAAACACACCCTATAGTCAACAGATATTATTATTTTGAGCAAATCATCATCATCATTTTAAAATTACTGTTCTTTGGAGCGTAGAAGAGCCATTCTGCTCACTAAAGAATGTTTCACTCAACTTCCACATAATGTACTGGTTCTATAGCAAGTATAGTTTTTTCCTAGAACCATACATTTAGGAACCTTTCTCCTTCTAAAAGTATATTCCCTTCATCGACCATGTGACTATGATTTCCACCAGCTGTATATTTTATATGTCACAATTATGCATCCCATCATGCACATAGTATTTTGTGCATCCTTCCTTGCCATAACATCCGTACCAAGTCTTCTCTTACAATGCTGGATGAGATGAGGTGGGAGAACACATTGCCTAAAATTAACAGATCATTCCTCCACCCAAAATCTCTGCTCATCCTCCAAAAGCCAGATCCTCCGTCCTCGGTTCCCCATGGATCTTCAGTAGGGTTTAGTTTAGGGGATTGTGATGGTCAGCACAAAGGCTTGATTCTGTGGCCATTGTGATTTGATGACAGCAGAGGCTTTCTGCTGCCAAGGGCTCCAAATGGTCATGGCCACTGAGGTGGCATCCATTGTAATTTTGAGACTTGATGACTCGGTACATCCAACGACTGCAACTATCCAATGTAATCCTTTGAGAAAGTTTTGCCTCTCAAATCATCCTCCTCGCTGTGGGTGGGCGGAAAAAACACTTGCATCCTCTTCCAGGCAGGTTCATCACAACTGTTTGAAAACTGTTTTGAATATTCTGAATATTTGCCCTAATAGTAGAGTAGTATTTTCAGGTGAGAATCTATTTTTGGAACAGCCACTGATTTATGAACGTGAACAATCTTTCGACTCATTTCATTTGTGTATTTTCTGATTTATCCCTGCTGCGTGTTGGTGGGGGCGTACCTCATATTTATACCTAGCAAACTAAGAAGTCAATATCACTTGAGTGTTCTTAAAGACTCTGTCTCAACAAAGATAAAATATGGATGGTTATTTGTAAATTAGATTTTGTTTTAAAAATGTCTACAAGTCTCAGTAGTTGAGTCGTTACATGTTTTTGAGAACACTGATTATGTTTTTGCTCTAAATAATTTAAATCTCTGAAAAATTGAAAAAAAAAATTGGTTTCATATTTTAGAGTAAGATTAAGCTGATAAACAACAAAGACATTTTGCACATGGTCTTTTTATGCTTCAAGGGTGCTAATAATTCTAGAGGGCACGATGCAGTCGTTTTCAAAAGGACAACAGACCACAGAGACTCAGCTCAGCTCAAGTGTGACATATAAGGCTGGGTCCTCAGGTAGCTAACACCATATGAGCTAATATGAGCCACATATGCACAATAAACTCAATGACATCTGTCTGCACGGCTCACATGGAATCTGAATACAGCCTGTAGCCCAGTGTATTGCCCTTCAGGACTTTAGGGAGAGAGCAGGTGAATGAGGAAGTCTTATTATGACAAAGACCGGTGCTGCCATTCTGCCATTGTAGATGCTGCTTGTTGTCTTGAATACTATATATATATATATATATATGTGTGTGTGTGTGTGTGTGTGATTTTGCCTTTCCTATAACAGCCAATGTTCCTAAAATTCATCCAAACTAATAAATGTGTTGTTTTTACAGATTCATCTAAAGGAGAGTGCATCATTAAATACCCACCATTTAAAAAATATAAGATGGTTCTTTTTCCACCACGCCTTTAAGCCGGAAAGCTACAGAAGTATCAAATAAACATCTGCATGCCTGAGATAACTCAATGTGAGCAAGTGTAGCCCTAAGAACAGAATCTTAGTCCATCACTACTTTCACAGACGCCTAGCGGCGCGAAGACATATGCCCATTCTGGAAAGGTAACCATAGGGGGAGCAGTGGGGCTGCGTTTGAGTGGTACCTTAAACAGTGGCTGAGGTTGGAGGCAGGCTGTAGGCTTTTCCGCTGCTCCAAGCCCGCACTGCTCCCTTATCAGCCTCTACCTGCTGGTAAACTGAACCTGCAGTGCATTAAACAGCCAAACCCACCGCCGCCGCACACAGCCCACTGAAAATAACTGCGCCCTGTAGAAACGAGCAGAATAATGAGAGAGAGAGAGAGAGAGAGAGAGAGGGAGAGAGAGAGAGAGAGGTATGAACGTGATATTGGGTATTTTCCATAATCAGCTCATGAATGCATAAACAGGTGCTTTTTGAATGTGGTTTACTAATGTGGTTAAATCATTTTTGGAATGACAAAATATGCACAAGACGAGAAAACACAAGCAGGCTCCACGTTGCTAGACCTCCCGTACAGACCAAACCCATAGGTGAGGTGCAGGAGACTCACCTGACACGCTTGCATGCGCAACATGCAAGACCAGCTGCCGGCTGATGCCAGATTTTGCTTCACAGGTCCTGACAGTAACTGCAGTGAAGACAGAGAGCAGCGAAACAAACATGTTCTGCCTGCAGGTCACATACATGTCAGTCAAAGCTAGTGGAGCAACTCATGTCACATTCTGAAAAAGACTGTGTAATTACATGTGAAGTCAAAACACTTTCCATTTGTATGACGTGTATAAATGGATGAGAGCCTGTAGCGCCATGTGTTCTTCTGACTGCATTAAAGAGACATTCTGACCAACATGAAAAATGTAACCACTGCTATCCATCCGCTGTAAACATGCCTATTTGCCTCTTACAGTGGTGCCATAATGGTCTTAAGGGAGAGATTTTCCAGTTTAAAGACTAGAAAAAGCCACTTCTGATGATGTATCATGAAGGTGGGAGGAACTTCTGAAAACCTGAAACTGCTTTGGGATGGATTTTTGGGCCGAGCTGTTTTTTTCCCCACTAGTTTACTAATGCAGAAGGAAGCTGGATAGCTAAGATTACTTCTATGAAGCCAAATATCATGTCTGTATCTGTATACATCAGTGATACATGAGAATAATGGTTATTTATTTGTCTTTTTCAAGCTAGATATTGAAGTGAGAGAACAACAAAGAGATGAAAACGATATAAAACTTTATTCTGTCAAACCGTATTACTACATAATGACAACACACTGAATGCTAGTTTTAGTCCTGAATGCCACTTTAACTTGGTAATGCAGCAAAATATTTAACCATATAACACTTTTATTCATAACGATGCTGAACAGGAATACACTGCCGCCTCAAAAACAGCAGAAAAGTTGCATACTCATGCTAAAGTGATGCACTTTCCAGTTGTTTGTGCTGACTCTGAGTCATTTTGCTTTTACTGACTTTTCCAATTCGGTGTGACCATGCAAACCTGTGCAAATCTACTTGTGTTAGCAAGATTGATGTGTTTTAGACCTCCTGCTGAAAAAAAACACAGAAACCAATAAGTCTTTCTGTTCCTGGTGGTTCTGTAATGTGTTTTGGCCTTTCTTGATGGGTTGATATCACCAAACACATGTAAAGGATCCTAATGATTTACCAGGTGACCTAAACGCATCTGATGGTTTCCTAATGGGATCTAAAGGTGTCCTACAGGATACTAATGGTCTCTAAAGGTAACCAATTTTGAGGCAATTCTCATTAGGAAGCAAACACATCAGGTATTAATTCTAATGCTGTGTTTTTCAGCAGGGCTGTGTGGGAATGTCTTCATCAGGCAGA